ACTTACTTTTTGTATTACACTCATGCAATGTGAATTATTTACACTTATATAATAGATAGATTATTTACACTATATAAAATAGAAGTATTCAAGCTAATCAATTTTTTTACTGGATAATATTTATATCCAAATTATAATTAAAATATACCCAATGCATAATTTTATTAATATTTCAAATAACATCAATCTAACAATAGAAGCGAATACAAAACTGTAACAGGCTAAGTTACAAGAGTGTGTGGTAAAAAAGGAAATATAAAAATCAATTAAATCTAAAAAATAAATTGAAGCAGAGCAAAATTAAAATAATCTTGTAACCTATACCTTTCCAAATTGAAAAGTATAGGTCACTGGTATAGATCACTGGAAGTAATCAGTACTTATATCGCACCAATACTTTGCTAATATAAAAATTATTGATAATATTTTAGTAAGCTTCTACTGTTATGAGAATGTTCAGTATAAAATTCCTAACAAATCAGCATCCTCACAGCTTTACTTTATCATTTCATTCACTTTTTTTTTTCTCTGTGTGTATTATTATTTTTGTGTGCACGACTATTAATTTTGGTACTCATACCTGTTTTTAAAAGGCTAAAGCCATTATTATTCATATTCATATACAAAAGGTTGTGTATAACGACCATCCTACTATTTCAAACTTATAACCCTTACATGATTTGCAGTATCAGGAGCGTCCAGGGGTTTCTCAATGCTGGCAACCGAGGGCGAGATTTATCACCGGCCATGGGGGTGACATCTCAACGTTTAATTATAATACTTTATTGCCCAATAAATCAGACGTTAGATGGAGTATAGTGACTGCAAGTCATACAGTGTTGTGACTCTGGCACTCTTCGCGCAAAACGCGATACTTCGCCTCTCGAAATCATAACTCGCCGGAAAATGTTTTTCAACTAAAATAAAATATGTAGAGACAAACTGATTATTTCACTATGGTATTTATTTACTCAGTGCTGTGATGTCTGTGGTCTCAATAAAAAATTGTCTTTCTTACAAAATTGGAAATAAGATCAAATTGAGTTATATTATTCCTAAGACTTATGACACCGAGCATAGTTTTTTCAGAAGGTGAATTTATTGTTCACCTTGCAGGTCACGACATGGGTCAATAATAAACAGATTTTATAATTTATTTTGTGATTATTTTAATATTTAGCATTGATCATGTTACATTAATTGATATGTAAAAATGTAGCAATCATTATAAATATAAATTTAATTAGAAATTTGGAGTGATAATCAAATTTATTTTTGTTTATCTTTCATTTCATGGTAATACAATTTGATATTTGTATTTTACCAATCGATACTATTTATTAACGTCGGCTATCCCGATATTGCAATTTAATTAATGCGATCCGCCGCCAAGAGAGCGTATATGCAGCGTCCAGAATTTGAAGGCGAAGCTCAAATGACCGCACTATAAATTGTTTGACGTCCTTGTGCTTATGTTGAATTACGGGCCAAATTTTACAGCTCGGTATTAAATGTGGTAGAAGCATTAATTTAGGGAATAAGTAATTCTAATAAATAAGCATTATGGAGGTAAATAAGCGGGATACCATACGGACTTGCTTCGGGCTATTTACACATACATCCTGAGTTGAATTCAAATCTGTCTGGACGATTTTGAAGATCACGGAATGATACTTATGTAATAATATAGGAACGAACTTAAATCAAGCATTGCATCGATATCGTCTGCTTTAGAGGCTTAAAAAATGGATTTTTTGCAAAAATGTCTTATAAAACTAGGCAAGAATATATCCTTAAAACTTCAGAAACAAATTCAAATTATTTTCGGAATTACAGAAAAAATAGTGAGCAATCGTCAAGCATGTATACAAGTAGAACGAAAACTTCGATGCGCGATTTCTCGGTTTTTAATTTTTTCGATTCTTCCTAATTGGCAGGAAAGATAGGAAAAAATTAAACGTCCTATCGAAACGAGACAAAATTAATTGTATTTAGAATTAAATTATATCCTAGTTGAACGTAAAAAAACTTTAAAAAGGTTATAATTAGCCCACTTATTCAACAATCTAAAGTGAAATTTTGTATAAAAAACATAATTTTTTATTCAAGTTGCGAAAAATTGGTGTATTTTTCATTTTTTTCCGGATTATTGGATTAAATCCAAAGTCTTTACTGAGTTTCAACTAGAATCTATACTATTGAAAATATATATTTGTTTTGATTTTTTTGATTCGTATGGAAATTGTGACCTGCATCTTCCTCGCCAAATGACCCGGCATATTATGACATATATTTAATGAAAAAAATTGAGAAGAATGTTGAAATATATAACAATAAAACCTGAAAGTTTCGTTTCAATTAAATATTTATATCCTTCCCTAAACATTCCTCAAAAAAGCGATTTTTTAAGCTTCTAAAGTAGGCTCACCCTTTAAACACTAATACATAATCTAATGATATCTACTACAAGAAAGGATTTGTTCGATATATATTTATTTATATGGAAGTAATTATATAATTAGATATGTCCCTAGTTTTTTTTAACTACACTGACAATTCATCTATAGACTCTGTTTTTACTGTTTTAACTACAATTTTCAATTATTTCTTATAAGCGACTAGAACTTAAGTGTTCTATGAGCCATTATGTTATCATTTCTAAGTTTTATATTAATCCAAAATATTATCCCATCTCTGTGTGATGAATTTTATTGTTACAATTTCTGTATTAGTGATGAATTTTCATTGATACAGAAATACCGGATAAAAGACTCAAATTCACTTTGAAACGTATTGATATTTACCAAGTAAAAATCGATGTCACTACTGCTGTTAACATTGACATGATGTTCGCTCAATAGTAAATTCTATTCCTATTCCATAAAAGTGACATTAGCAGAGTTTCAGCATTTGAGTAATGTCTTAATTCTATTTAGATGTCGTTTTCTGGACAAATTTTTTTGACGGTCTCCGACTAATCGTCCGAATGTAATCGGTCATTTGTAATTAATCACCGATGATTGGCGAACGATTAGTTGCACTGTTATAATTGCAATGGAGTAAAACGATCGCGATTAACGACATCATATATTTTTTCGAATATTAGTTGCAAAACTGTTGATGGCATTGTAGGAGTTATGAAGTTGCGAATCTGTCATAGTAGATTTATTTTTGGTGATAACGCTAAACCTACTTTTTCAAAGTATTATGATGTCTGTTTTACAATAATTAAACCGCTTTTGGAATTTTATCTCTAGTATCCAGAAATACTGTAACAGTCTTAAAAAGCGAAAAGAAACATAAGTCTTTTTACATTCAGTATTTTGGATCTTCACAAGTCCAAAAATATTGCGTGCCATAAATGCCTTTTCATGTTCATTTACAAATTTTATATATGACTTTTTATTGTAGATAGTATAATATAATAGATATTAGACTCATAGACCCACATTTTTTTCTGTGGACTTTGCAATTTTATTTTTGCTGACGCGTGGACCCCTTGAAAGTTGTTATGAACCCTTTAGTAATTATTAAAAATTTGAAAAATCACAAATCTATAAAAGTTTAAAATCTTCAAAAATTACAAATAATATTAAAATTTAATTTGTTACTGAAATTTACTCTACTTCCCGGGTAAGTTATTGTAATGGACAAAAATCGAAAATGAATTTTTTATATCTTCACGTTTCAGAGGTTTCTGAACATTTTGGTATATCTCAGAAAAAATGGATGTGTGTATGTGTGGAGATAATTTTTCGTTTACGATTTTGGGCGTACGGATTAACCGATTTGAATGGTTCAAAAAACATCCGATTCCTATTGATAAGGAGACATGCTGATTAGTTTTTGACGAAGACAGGTCCATCCATTACGGAGATACGAGATACAGAGCAAAGAGTGCAGAAAATAGAAATGGAGATTTTGAGAGAACGGAGCATCCGATTTGAATGATCTAATAAACATTCAATTCGTAATGATAGGGAGAAGTGTTGATTTTTGGCAAAGGCAGGTCCAACCGTTTCGAAGATACGTAGCTAAATGTACAAAAAATGGCAGTTTTTGAAGGAACTAAGCATTCGATTTGAATGATTTAAAAAACTTTCTGCTTGTGTTGACGAAACGATTGCTTTTTGGGAGAGAATTTATTTTTATTTCATTTTTTTTTTTAATTTTGAAAAAAAAAATCATTTGAATATGGAATAATAATTCGGATTTTAATTCTAATTTTAGCTAAAGTTCTAAACATCACTTATATACTTGAAATAGATAATTTTAACTCTGCAATTCAGTTTATATAATACTTTCAAGGGAACTCTCAGATTTACTCTTTTGGATGAAACTTCGATATTTCAAAACTTGAAATATCATCCAGCAAATTGTAGGTCTGTTTATCCTATACTCTATTTCAGTTTAAACACATGTTATTCATGATGAAAAAAATTTGTTATTAATATGCAATGCAAATACAAGTATTTACACAATTCTCAAGCTTCAACTTTTGTTGAAGTTTCATCAAAATCCCAGAAGAGTAAACCTGAGGGTTCTCTTGTTAGAAATATTAGACAATGTTCTTCATTTTAAATCCGATTGTATAAGTTTTGTTCATCTACTTTTTATAAAATAAGAACAATGAAAGCTGCATTATTTATAATAATCTATATGAAAACACAGAGAAATATTAATTTTTCGAATATTTCATACGGGAAGTTTCATACAGCAATTTGCCTTGAGGCACGATGCCGTAAACCACTAATTTAATATTTATTCACTAATTATAACCAATACACAACTAGCACAATGTCACCCAAAAGTACATTTAACAAACAACACAATTGTAGCTAACGTTTTACTTTCAAAAATGCTTCTGCCTAATTTACTTTTAACGAACATCACGAAACGAACCGAAACGAGTCTATTGCACATTGTTCAAAAACTGATCAGTTTCAACTGATATTGTATAAAATAGCAATGATTGTATTTTCCGGCTGCAGACGTAAATGATGGACGTATTCGGCAAAAAGTTTCCCATTGTCTGCGCAGGCGGTGGTGGCAGCGGCGGCACCGAACTCGATGACAAGTGCACCGTCTGCTTCTGCATCCAAATGACTTGTTTTAATTTCCCCAACCGACTGCGAATCAGTGTGTTGCTTTTCATGTCTTTGCAGATATCACTGTTTCGAATGTTCCGAATGTTTCGAGCTGTACCTCTTGGCAGCTTCTGCATTCATACTTCTTACATTTATATCTGACATTGCAAATCCGAATCAAAACACGCTATTGAAAATGAAAACGTCATCGTTTTTGTTACCTGGAAATATGAAATTCTTGAACCTAAAGAAGCGATGCGAGTTCAGAGATAGGAGTTCATGTATTTCGAGGTTATTTTAATGAAATGTTGTAACTTTTTTGAAAGTTTAACATAGTTTCGACGTAACTGACGCACTGATAATGAATTGAACAAACACAATAAAGTGAAGTAGATAGTTAGATACCGAAATAGATATTGTTTTACAAAATTTGTAAGAGACGATACTGAATTAATATACATAAGTTGTTTTTAACAGTATAAAACATTTTCAAAAACTACAACATCATTCAAACCATATAGTCACTCAGCTTCTTGAGACATCAACTTCAAGAAGACTGAAGAAGAAGCTGCCCGAAGATAATATGGAGGAATCTTAGAACTACCACAACCTTACATGAACAGAATAATTGAATCATTTATTGAAGTGATTCTCTAAATATGATTGTAATATTGATCCGATAAATTTATATGTGTGTTTGCAAGTGTGTGTGTATATGTGTGAGTGAATGACATAAGCCAAATAGCTCATAGAATAGTCATGTATTTTGATTGCTATTGAAAATAAATATTAAAAAAAAAATAATAAAAAAATAAGTTGTTTTTTGTAATTACACTAACAGTTATACATATAAATTAATTATTAATTGGTAAATTAATTAGACATAAGATTAGAACCCTTTTTTTGCCAAGGCTATTTCAAACGTTTTATAGTTGTCGATATGTAAATTCATGTAATTGCCATAGTTCTTTTTATTAATTTTAAAATGTCTCTCTTTTTTCCAGATGAGCATTTTGATCAAGAACCGGATATCAATACCGGACAGCAGGACCCTTTAGGCAATACAGAATCAAAAGAAGACTTGCTGCAGCAGCAAGAAGTACAGGAAGACAGTGCCCAGGAAGAAAAGGATAGCAGCAAAGTTTGTGATTTGAATAATAGCGCTACCCACGACTCTAGTGAAATAACTAATAATTCCGACGTCGAGTGTAGTATACCAGTATCCCTTGTTCAAGATTATCAAGTCAATAGGTAATAATTAATAATAAGCGTTAATTTTTCATTTGAGTGTAAGCGTTATCATGCCGATTTTAAATCTTTATATTACATTATTAAAATTTAGTAGCCTATGTTATTAAACATTCAAAATTTATCTTATATTATTAGATCAAGTTGTATATCATACTATTTTTTTAAACCAGATAATAATCTTTTCTTTGATGCAAAAAAAGTTAAAAATTAATATTAAATTATTCATTGTATTTGTTAACCTAATGCGAAAAATATTATTTAATTTCTTCGTATCGTACAAATGCTATTTTAAGATAATTTTATTTATATCAATTTATTTTTATTCCAGAGAACCCAGCCCTGGTTGCCCATCGTCACGAGAGTCGCCTATGAGTGTTCTTTGTCATTCAAGTGAATCGCCCCATTCTTCTGGTAGGGTATATGGCAGCGAGTCCTCGAGTCCTGCAAATCAAGCAGCAGCAATGGCAGCCTATCTTGCGGCAGCACATCACAATGCAGCTAAAACAATGTCAGAATGCCCACCATCGCCCACAGTAACATCATCAATTTCACCGCCAGGAGAGGTTGTATTAGATTTTAGTACAAGGCGATCACCACGTTGTGTCACTCCCGAGAAAGTGGCACCGATGTCAGAAAATGGTCCTCTTGATTTATCAGTAAGCAACCGAAAGAGAACTACTCCCGAACCTATTTCTCATGGACAGAGGAAAAGTTTACGCACTAGTGTCGATCAGCCGCCAGCAGCGTGGCCTTCGCCATATTTTGCAGCGGTTGCAGCAGGTTTAGCCAATGGCAGAAATACTTCGTCTATTAAAGCAAGTACTAATGACGGAGCAAAAGCTTTAGAAAAAATGGGCGAATTAAGCCGTTTAGGATCTAGTGATGAGTCACAGCGAGGACGACATGGAGCATGGCAATCGCATTGGTTAAGTAAGGGGGCGGAACAGGCACGCGATGTACTTAAGTGCGTGTGGTGTAAACAAAGTTTCCAAACTTTAGCCGCTATGACAGTTCACATGAAAGAAGCCAAACACTGCGGGATGAACGCGCCCGCATCTTCGCTGACTGCGTCTTCCCCTCAACCGCCACCATCTCAAATAGCGTCACCCAAACAGCCACAAAATGAATTAAGCTTACTAATTAAGGATAGTATGCCATTACCTCGAAAATTGGTCAGAGGTCAAGATGTTTGGCTGGGAAAAGGCGCAGAACAAACAAGGCAGATTTTGAAATGCATGTGGTGCGGGCAGAGTTTCCGATCTTTAGCAGAAATGACTAGTCATATGCAACAGACCCAACATTATACAAATATTATATCACAAGAACAAATAATTTCGTGGAAATCGTCAGATGAAAAAGGAGGAAGTGCTCAAAATTCATCCGGAAATTCTTCAAGCGCTGCACCGCATGGCCCAGGAGGTCACGTGAGTGCTGTACTAACGTGCAAAGTATGCGATCAAGCATTTTCTTCCTTAAAAGAATTAAGTAATCATATGGTAAAAAATTCTCATTATAAGGAGCATATCATGCGATCTATTACCGAAAGTGGAGGCAGAAGACGCCAAACTCGTGAGAAAAGGAAAAAATCTTTACCGGTGCGGAAACTTTTAGAATTAGAGCGTGCTCAAAATGAACTTAAAAATGGTGATGCTCCGACAGGACGTATAAGTTGTGAAAAATGTGGTGAAAAAATTGATACAAGTGTTTTTGTAGAACATATTCGTCAATGTGTTGGTGGTAGTACTTCGCAAAGAAATTTGTTAAAAAATGCTTTGTTAGTAGGCGCTCCAGGCGGAGAGCATATATTACCTCCGTCGCAATTGTCCGAAAATAATGAATCTGCAAAAGCTGTGTCTCCAACATCGTTGGGAGGTTCTTCTCCGCCCTTACCAGAGAAAAGCTCGTCGCCATCTGTTCTCAATGCTATTGAACAACTGATCGAAAAGAGTTTTGATTCGAGAACACGTCATGGTGCTAATTATTCGCCACATTGCGCGCCAATGGGAAGCAGTATTTTAAAACGGTTGGGGATTGATGATAGTGTGGATTACACGAAACCTCTTGTAGATGCACAGACTGTTGCATTGTTGCGCAGCTACCAGCAGAACCAAAACCAACAACAACAATGCTATTCTAGAAGAGAACGTAGTGGTAGCGAGTCAAGTTCCGTTTCAGATCGCGGAGGTCGTCAAGAGTCTTTGACACCTGATAGTAAAATGGAGCCACCAGCATTTGCAGGAACCCCACGTTCTACACCAGACAGAAGGGTATCTACACCTCAAGCGGAAGAATCTCCGACTTTGGTTAGGGTAAAATTGGAACCAGGAACCTCGGAAATTATGAGCACAGATTTAAGTAAGATTTCGATGAAAAAGGAACCTGATGATGAGTCTCGAAGCCCACAATCTCGTCGTGCCACACCTAGTCCTGCAGCGGAATCGCCGCGTTCTACACCTGGGACCAGCGGTCGTAAAGATGGGGGTAGTTTAGGTGCCCTTTCATCTATGTTTGATAGCCTATCAGGAACATCTTCAACATCTCAAGCGCAAACGGAAAACAGCAGCGGTCAGAAACGACCGGGTTCCCATCCGTTAGCAGCGCTACAAAAACTATGTGACAAAACGGAAAATCACCATTCAACACGCAGTCAGGTTACACCTGCAACTGCAGCTTGTTCCACATCGAGTAGTACTGGATCCGCCACAGGAGCGATTTTAGCATTCAGCTGGGCCTGCAACGATGCAGTTGTGAACTCCGATTCTGTTATGAAATGTGCGTTTTGCGATACTCCTTTTATCTCGAAAGGTGCTTATCGTCATCATTTATCTAAGATGCATTTTGTGAAAGATGGGGCATTGCCCGAACCTGTGGCAATAACAACACCTAAACTAACAACTTCCGAATCTGGTCCTAGTCCAGTGGCAACAACAGCTACAAATTCAAGCAAGTCAAGTGTTTTGCAAAGCAATGCGCAAATTAGTAGTCCGTCATCGCAGTCTGCAAGTTTTGATGAGAGTCCCCACTCTAAGTTCCTCAAGTATACTGAATTAGCTAAACAACTATCAAGTAAATATGTTTAGAGAAAAAGTGTGAATGATCATTGTGATAATACCATATCCCATATATTGATTGAGTGTGTTAAATAACTATCAGCATAATGCCATATATTATAATAATATTGAAATAAAATTCTAAATTGGATCATTCTCACATCAAGTTCGTTTATAAACTGTACTTAAGTGTAGTACCAAAAATTCGTTTCCAAAACAACACGTGGTATACCATTTTACTGTATACTTCATATGTGTAAATTAAATTGGTTAAATTTTTTTATCAAATTGATTTTTGGTAAAATTGAACTAAATTATTATCAGCGGCTTATCATGAAAGTTCATAGAATTTTGATTTTTTGCTATAAATTTGGGCTAAGCACATAATAAGATATACGCCATTTGTAAAAAGCAGATTTGTGATTTCAAACATAGTTTTAGAACTCTTAAAACATGTATACTTAGTATTGATTAAGTTGATACTCTTACTAAGTATTGGTTTTACAATAAAATCTTATACTTAAAATAATATTTATATTTTATTAGAGTAAAGTGTAGTTTAATAAATATAATGATAATATTCATTACATGCAATTATACACAATGTAAAAAACTCATAGTATCTTGAAAATATTTAAATTTCTTTATTAAATTATTTCAATTGCGTAATTAAAGGGAATTCATTTCCATTTGTCGAAATGTAAAATGCTCATTTATGGAAATATTAAATCAATCTTTATGTTTAAATCGAATGCATTTAGAAATTGTTTCTTAACATCATGAGTCGTTCTCAAAAATCCAACTACTAAATATTTTCATATAGCGAATGTCGCTGGCTAAATTATCACTCATTTTGTACTAAATATGTTCAAAAATTCTTATTATGGTACTTATAACAGTGATTCTCAACCTTTGTGCTGCACAATTACTTTGTGCGTCGTGTAATTTATGATGTGCGCCAATAAATATTATAAATGCAATGTAATGTTATACTTAAGAAAACTGATTTATTGGTTAATTTGAGGCAGCAAAAAATGAAAAATAGTTGAGAATTATTGGCGTAGGTTTAATATTAAAATAGCATTTAATTTCGTGGTTAGATTTATGAAAACGCTTATAATGAATATTTTCAGAATGATTATACGTCCTCACAAAAATTGATGAGTAAAAACTAAAAAACTTGAAGTATCGATGTGATGCATAATGAATACTGAAGTTTGAAAATTTGTATAATTTTTAGATGAATCATTAGATACTAAGCCATACACAAAATAAAGTATACGTAATATTTCAGCATTAATTTGTACATATGCATTATCAAAGCATGCTCATGAACATATTATTCTATCAATGTAATAAATTTATATCCATTGAAAAATCTTGATCAACATTTTATCGATTTTCAATTCAAGTTTTCCGAATCTCGAAAATGAAGTTAGGGTTCAAAATTAAAGGCTGAATATAATCATAACTTTGAATTATACTATTTTATTGCAAACTTTGATACTGCCAGGTTCATATTTCATTAATTGTGGAAGAACTCATTCTAATATATTTTATCATATCACTTCATAATATTTATTAATTATTTTCTAAATTTTCCGTAAGCAATGAATTTAATTTACAGTTTTTCCGATTGAAGGCAACAATATAATAAACCTAGTAATCATTTTACAAAAAGAGGTGTATTTAATACACGTTTAGTTTATAGATTAATAATATTTTAAATTTGGACCACTTTGTAACACATGGTGGTAAAAATTTAAATTTCAAATAAGATCAGATCTTTGAAAATAAATTAAATTTACATTTCAGTAACAGTAAAATTTGGAAATTCAGTACTTTGATCTATACTCAATAATTGAATTTAATTCAATATGATTAATATAATTCTGTAAATACTCAATATTATTGAATATAAAAATATATTATTTCGATCATTTTTTGTGCACATTGGCGTGACATCCTTCGATAACTTTGTAATTCCATATTGAAGTAAATGCATTTTCTTATTATAAAATTATAAAAATTCTTGAGTATACTACAATTTGTTGTAAGCAAATCAAAATACGTAAAATTAGTGTTAGGAATCGCAAAAATCTCTTCGCTTTAAAAATAGATTAATATGTTCATGAGCATGCCTTTGCAAATTGTAACGAATCCTGCGTTTGATTTTCGAATATGTAATTTGTCAGTAATGTTGATATAAATTAATATTAATAAATTAAAAATATAAAAATTATATAATAAGATTACAATTATATGAAATTAATACTAACCTCTAAAACATGATGTATACGCATAAAAAAGAAAAAATCACTATTCAAGTATTTAAATTATGGTTGTTTTAATCAAATATAGTTTAAATGAAATTATTATTTATGCCATTTTTAAACTCAAATAAAATGTATGTTATGGATTCATCTCTCTATTTTATTTTAATGCAGTGAAATTTAAGTGTGACTTTTTTGCAGATTTATCTTACAGGTTTGTCCTTATAAAATTCTGTATACTTTTTGATAATTGACATTGATTGTAATTTTTATGATAAAGGTTATGCAATTAGTCAAATAATCATTGTCCTATTTTCATTAATAATATTTTTCAATTAAAATTAAAAAGATTTAAATAGTTGTTTTAGTATGAAATGATAATAATATATTTTAAAAGTTATTTGACTGTTTTGGCGAGAGAGCCTCGGCATTGCAACCAACGATTCAAATTCAAATTCCCCGCTGCGTATAAAATGTAAACCTAAATTTGTTCCCAAGTGAAAATGGCCCTTCAAGGATTAATGCAAGGTAAAAATTTCATCACAAATTTAAATTTCATCACTTATTTAAATATGGTACTTTGACTGACATCTTGAATTGAATTCCATATTGGTGCTTTATACGGGTTTGCAGCTAGAATACTCGAGTATGGATGAAAACAACAATGGAATTAGTGGCTGTAAAATGAATAACTTTTATACAAAATAGTATACCTAGAAACAAATACATTTATATTCACCTATTCATGTTTCTTTTCCACCAATTTAATTTTTAACTTCCAGTCGGGTAAGTTATAGTAATCGGAAATTTTTTGCATAAATTTATGTTTCAAGGTCAAAATTTTGGCATACACGGTTTTTTAAACATATTTTACTCAATTTGAATATAATATCAAGTTAAAATGGATATAGGCTGTTGAAAAAAATCGTGTTATACACGATACTCCGTGTTATCGGAGGGATGCTGCAACTTCAGCTCCGTGTAGACGGAAAACCGAGTTCCTAGTATATTACATTATCGGAGGGATGACTGTATAGAATTCATTATATTATTGATTTATTATACTATTATACTTATTGTACTTCATTTCTCATTTCAATGTTGTTGACAATTGGTAACCCTCGCTGTTGAATATTTATTTTTACAACATCATAAATAAAGTAATTACTAGTAGTTTAGACTGTATATAATTTATTATATTATTTATTTATTATACTATTATGCTATAATATTTACTTATTGAACTTCATTTCTCATTTCAATGTTGTTGACAATTGGTAACCCTGGCAGTTGAATATTTATTTTTACACTATGATAAGGAAAAGTAGTTACTAATTGTTTAGAGTACGTAATTACTAATAGTTTAGACTGTATATAATTTATTATATTATTTATTTATTATACTATTATGCTATAATATTTACTTATTATACTTCATTTCTCATTTCAATATTGTTGACAATTGGTAACACTGGCAGTTGAATATTTATTTTTACACTGTCATAAGGGAAAGTAATTACTAATAGTTTAGACTTTATATAATTTATTATATTATTAATTTATTATACTACTATGCTATAAATTTACTTATTGTACTTCATTTCTTATTTCAATCTTGTTGATATTTTGTAACCTTGGCAGTTGAATATTTATTTTTACACCATCACACGTAAAGTAAATACTAATAGTTTAGAGTCTAAACTTTAGACTGTATATAATTTATCATATTATTAATTTATTATACTTTACATTATACATTAACTTATACTTTATTTTTCATTTCAATATTGTTGACAATTGGTAACACTGGCAGTTGAATATTTATTTTTACACTATCATAAAGAAAAGTAATAACTAATAGTTTACAGTAAACGTAAAGTAATTACTGATAGTTTAGACTGTATATAATTTATTATATTATTTATTTATTATACTATTAAATTTACTTATACTTCATTTCTCATTTCAATGTTGTTGACAATTGGTAACACTGGCAGTTGAATATTTATTTTTACACTATCATAAGAAAAAGTAATTACTAATAGTTTAGAGTAGTAAAGAAAATATTTATAGTTTAGAGTAAACGTAATTACTAATAGTTTAGACTGCATATAATTTTTTATACTATTTATTTATTATACTATTATATTACTATACTTTAATTTTCATTTCAATGCTGTTTGCAATTGGTAATCCTGACAGTTTAAACGTGAAGTAAAATCCTGACCATCATCCGTGACGTGATTTTTAATAGTTGATGTTAATTTGTATTTAATAGTTATAAAATAAAAGTGCAATAAAAGTACAAAGGAATCTACCATAAAGTAAATCGATTTTAATTATCGTTGTTATTTCATGAATACCAGCAGCATTTTTTTCCAATGTAAACATCAATAGCGAAACAATTGCGAATGTATGTATCGATGGATGTTTTGATTTGATAATCTAACTATGCACTTTTATCAAATATAAAATTATTGCACATCTTGCATCCCTCTCTAAGCCACCTACTGTTATGTCGGAGCACGTGAATATTGGATTCAGTCGATCAGTTATGTGATTTCGGTTATGCGGATCTAACCTGTAAAGTGTTGCTCGATTATTTTTAATTTTTGCTTACGGGATTATCAGAGAAATCATAAGGACATTTTGTTTAAAGCCTAGTGAATAAGTGTGATTTTAAATTATTTACTATCTAAATTTATTACGACGTTAACGAAGTGTCAACATGGTGGACATGGTGTGTTAGTTATAAGAAAGGACAACCGCGCACTTCAGGGGAGGAATTTTGGTAAGTCAAATAAGTTTTTATTTATTTTATTATTCTTATTGATTTATATATGAAACATTCCAATTATAGAACAGTTAACGAGTCGGTAGCAATTAAATTGTTCTTGTTAGTCGAATTATAATACAAAAGTCAACTATAGTTCTGACCCTAGACAATATAATAATTATTATGACATTAGTCATGACAACTTATAAAGGCATGACGCCTTTTGTCAGAATTGTTGCAATATAAATCTATTGAAATGTCAAAACGGAAAATTACGTATATGTTCACATTTTATTATTTTTTCCAAATGGAAGTCAGTCATTGAAAAAAGTCGGAATAAAGATTACGTGCGTTTTTTCTTTCTTGAGCATTGTTCTTCCTAAGTCAATGATTTTAATATATATATATATATATATATATATATATATATATATAAAGTTGTTCTTGGGCATCCATACAATATTTAAAACGATTTTATTGTGATATCATACGTTTTGGGTCCTGATTCGACCCATCTTCATAAATTAAAGAGAAATACTAATAAATTAAAGAGAAAAAACACGAAAATATATGAACACCAATTGATATAACATCAAGTTATATGACAATTTTTAATAAATAATAAATTAAACAAAATAAAAATAAAATATTAAATTTCTTTTCTTAGAAAAAAGGCTCTTCTCATAAAGACATGTTTTCATTTGGAGTTTATTTTATAAATCAACTTTTTACAAGTTCACTTGTAAAACAAACTCCACACAAATAAAAGAGCCTTTTTTTAAAAAAGAAAAGTATTATTTTATTTTTATTTTGTTTAATTATTTTATTTTGTTTCATTATTTGTTTATTAAAAATTGACATATAACTTGTTGTTATATCAATTAGTGTTCATATCTTTTCGTGTTTTTTTTTGTTTCTTTTTAATTCATCTATATGCACTGAAATGGATCAAATCAGGACCCGAAACGTATGATATTACAACAAAAACATTTTTCTACAATAAAATCGTTTTAATTATAGGATGGATGCCTAAGAACAACTTTATCATAATATTTCACCATCTGAAAAAAACCTCTCGCTTTATATATAGGGTCTTCAGTGCCCGCAAGCCATTTTTTCCCTAAGGCCTCCTCTGTTTTTTAACAATTTTGGCCATTGAAATTACATGAAAAGTACGTTATTTTTTCAATTACTATTTATTAAGTATTCTATAGATTATATATTTGAAAAAAATCATATTTAAATTATGTATGATAACATATTTTATTATCCAAATCTCGTGATGGCGCCCCGTCGACGATGCGCCTGTATTTTTCGCATGCAGGGTAGCGTTATAGTCAACCCTCCGTTAACGCGGTGAGTGCGTACCGCGTAATATGGAAATCGACCTTTTTAGAAGCTTGGAATTAACTATATTGACTATTTAGTCAGGCAATCCATTGCGTGTATAAAATAACAAAAGCTATTTAAAGATACATTTTTAACTCAGTTTTATTTAGCAATCAGAAATACATAAAGATTCCTATGAGCTAAAGTGACAATATTTATGAGTGATGCCTAAGAAGAACTCCAATGAGAACTTCTCAGTTTTACAATTAATATGATATATTAGACCTAATCTAAGACTAAGTCTAAGGGCCATTGTCGTTTCAACCTCCTAATGCCAAAAGGTTGAGTAATGTCAACTATAGAAGGGTTCAAATGTGAGTCCAGTTTGCGCTTGTATTTTTCCTTAACTTCTTTAAATGTTAATTGCACCGTTTTCAAGTTGAGGTCGCTGTGAATGGTTTCATTTGTCACGTACCACGGAGAATTAAGAATTGTACGTAAAATTTTTGACTGAGTTCTCTGCATTATAGCTATATTAGATTTGTAAGCACATCCCCAGAGCTCAATTCCGTAGGTTTAATAATGGTTTGGTTTGGTTTAATAATTGATTTATATAGCAGCAACTTAGTTTCGACAGAGAGCTTAGACTTTTATATGAATCATTTTTTATTAATCAAAATTACTGACTTTTGTTTCTATGTATTTTTTTCCTTTGAGCTTTAAAAAAAATAGCACTTCTTCGTTCGTTTTAATTATTTTTGTTAATTTTAATTTTAATTTTCGAAAAACCGAAACAACCCGGGACACAAGGCGGAAATCCGGGAACGTTCCGTCCAGACCGGGATGTATGATTACCTTTTTTATAAGCCCTTTATAAGTATCCCGATTTGTTGTAGGGCATCCTAATATGAGAAGCCATTACAAATTCTTCAATTTCATGCATATTTGCCAAACATTTTACTTAATTTTAACAAATAATTTAAGAATTAATCATTTTTTAAAAGCAAACATGCATTGCCCTTGTGAGCTCTATTGTCCTCATAAAGTATCAAGAGGTTTTTATATTTTTAAAATCGGCGCAAACGTTTTCGAGAAACCGCCGACGAAAAGTTGATGTTTTGGTTTACATACACACATACATTTTCCAATGTTGATCTCCAACGATTCAGAATGACTTGAAACGTCGAGAAAACATAAAATTAGAAAACCGGATTTTCTGGCGAAAATACAAACTTCTACCGGGAATTAGTGAACAGTTTGAAATGAATTTATGTGATTGAAACATAATTATAATAATTAATTATAATTATAATTGATAATTAACATTATAACGGTTTTTATATGTTAACCATAAATTTGAAACTAAAAAAATTCAATGCAAATCTCATTATTTATAATATCCTGTTTTGCAGGGTATCATTTTACACAAGAATTTAAATTCTTACTAATTTAATTGAATTTATTACATTTTTTGTTCAATGCGTGAGTTACTATAATATAATTTACTAAATACTAATTAGTAAATTATGTGAAGAAATTTTAAATTTTATAAAATAATCCACTGTTCTTCATCTGATGTCTTAACTGCGTAACTTATTCTCGATTGACGAATATAATCGTCATGAATCGTTTCTGACTGCACAAAACTGTTCTCAAAATTAAAATTAAAACAAAATGAACATATTATAATTGATTTATATTTTCTAGTCAACTACATATTACAAATTTCGTGTGAATAAATATCTACATAGACTTGAAGCTAGACATTTATACAGAATGCTTAATATGACTGCGATGTTTGAATACTAATGTTTACAATAATTTATACTTGAATTAAACCTATGATAAACGCGTAGTCACAGAGAATATAATAATTTTAGATATGTTTTCATATACTTTTCTAAACTAATCACTTCATAATTGATACATGAGCAACACTTTCAGTGCATTTTTGATTATTAAACATTCGTTCACGTTGCGGCTCTGTACAAATATAAACTTTGGCAATAAATAGGGAGTATGTAGAAAAAGGCTGAATATTTGTGCATTTTCAGTAAAACCTTATATGAAAGACATTCAATTAATTAATCAAGCACATCTATTAATACAGAATCGGTTGAACCACGTAACTAATTGAATATTTTTAATGGGTCCTGAATTAAAAATTAATTAATAAAAATCAGCGTTCAGCCAAAATGACCATATGAGAATGTAGTCACAACCTTGGCGAATTTACAATGCATTGGTCGATGTTTGATTCTAGAATTCTAAATAGTTTAACATGGATATATCACAACTCACAACTTATAAATACTTTGTGGTCATCGGTCTATTAGCAAGTGATGGCTATTATAATCAATCGATTAGCAAATGACTATTCAATTATGTTTATTCGATTTAGTTTTTTTATCAAAATTCTCTTGCTAACTTTATAACATTATATGGGTTAACCATATCGGTAGATATTTATGATTGATAACACTTTAAGATTGTTCTCTTAATGAATAAAAATGTGGCAATATCTAACAATAAGAAATTGCATTCAATAGGAAAAAATAACCCAATGACTGTTAAACAAAACATTGAACTAATACAATAACTCTAATGTTGTTTTAAATCTGATGATTTTTCGTAAAGAAAATTTTATTTAGATTTACTAACTAATGACTTTTAGAAATTCTACATGAGTGTATTTATTCATTGCTCTTCTCTTTAACAATATTATAAATTTGTGCACAAATAGATTTTGAATAAGGTATTCAACATTTTTTTAATTAGTTCAAATCATTTTATTTAACCTCATTACTGAATATTTATGTAATTCGATCTGAAATCTTTAACAGAAATAAATCTTACTAAAAAAAGATATTGAGTAATGAATTAATTCTTTACCAAGAAGTAATGCAATGCAATGCAAAGCAATTCTCGGATGTCTTATAAATTTAATTTTAATCAAAATGAAACTTTACAATAAATAAAAAAGTATCGGAAGTAGATTTTGGATGCTGTTAAATACCCATTACAATTGCGAGAAGTAAAATATCTTTTTTATATAACTATTTTGATCTTATGGTAGTTTTGCCAGTTTATAATTTGTGAAATTTATTTGAGGTATAAAATTTGATTGGCTGTGATTAAAAATACTGTAACATACTTGATATATATGCCATCCTTTCAATGATATGCTGATAAAATGAATGCTACTAGTCAATGTTTTTAAAACAATAAGAAAAATCCAAAGTCGATCACATATTCATGACTATTGTAAAAATTAGAGTATTGAAATATGAACAAAATGAAAAATACTGATTTAACCATGATCATGTGATATACTGACAGTAATATACATTTTATCAGCACACCCAAAATATTTTAAGAGTAACATGTTAAACATTCATGTTTTCAATTCAATTCAATAGTTTTGATTTAAAGTGTTTATATGTGTATATATTTCTTAATTGAATGTGTTCATAATCTCAGCTCTTGTTTCTGATATTCGTGAGCTGTATGTTGATGCTAGAATCAAATTTCTGATTTCACTGATGACTTGTTAGTTTAAATTTAGCTAGTTGGAATAGTTTATTTTTGATACGCCGCACTTTAATATTAAAAACTTGTATTTAATAACAAATAACGAATATATTTATGCATTATTTTAATCGCAAATCAACAGTCGAATAACATCACGATAATTAATTTTTATAACTCCTACTTAGTGCTACCTAGTGACTAAAAATTTATCAGACATCAAATATATAGGCATAATAATTATTTTAAAACTAAATTAGTAGTAGATAAACATTGATCATAGATATCTATGTACACAATACAATAATTGCAAACAATATACATTGAAATAACATAATAATGCTGATAGCATTATTTAATAGAATTATTATGATGTATTATGAGGACCTATTGTTGTACTCATGCGGAATTCAAAAATAGGTATCATAATATATCGAAAGATAACAATATTACACAAGACTATATAAATGTTCCACACAGACATATGTCATAATATATTTAAATATATTTACAATTTTCTTCATAACTCTTCAATAAATAATTACAAATCTCATGCTCCAGAGAACCCATAGACTTCCAAAACTCGAACCTCAAAATCACCACTTGCACACAGTGGGGGATTGTTAAATGTTTGGCAATGATCGGTTTTGCCAAAGCGAATGTTTTCATCCATCCAAATCGCTTGCCCTTGCCTGAAAATAGAAATAATTATATAAATAATAATTGAACCTTATATTTCTTTGGATATAGCATATAGTACATGTTATTGTTGTTGAAAAGCTAGGTAACTAGAAAAAAATATATTTATTGTGAGCTATGAATTGTTTATCATGAATCGATTGAGTTGGGGTTGATCCCAGGTTTACTATTCTGGGATTTTGATAAAACTTTGCATAGTGAAATAATTGATAGTCAAAAAGTACATTTCATAATATTATAGGCCTATGAGAAGTGGTTTATTTTAAAATTCTTATTAATTTAGACTTACCCTCCGCCGATCGTGATCATTTTCGAATCGGCTGCCATAAACAGTTCAGCAGCATGGCCAAGTGACTCTTTGTCACCACTTCCCATTCCTACCCAAGGATACTTGGCACGTTCTGGATATAATGAAAATAAAAATGTTTCTCCCGTTCCAAAATAAGCTTGTCTGTTTCCTCGATCATCTTTCATATTGCGCTCATACCAACGGGAAGAACAGTAAGCACCAAACACCTATAAGAAAAATAATATTAAACCCAATTAAACCTTTATGTACAAGTTCATATTCTTTAGGCTCAATTAATTATTCCCAGGTTCCCCAATTTCAGACTTCAAGCATTCATTGTCAAAACAAGTCAAAACTGGTTTTTTTTTTATTTTCGGTTTCTCAAAGTATAAATATTGTAGGAATCAGGTGAACATTGTTTTTAGATTTTTATAACAACAAAATGTCGTGACATTTCTAGAGTTTTGTAATGAAAAAATTTTAATATATTTTTATACATATTGGTGACCAACGACGTTGAAATGAAGATGCAAATATGCGCGGATCATGAATTTACAAATATAGATTCTGGTGCAACGCGCTAATCACTGGTCTTCCATTGGCTACCCTAAAAGTACGCCCAGTCCTCGGGTCATCAGGGGCTAACGCGTTTACAAGCCCTGGCACCGGACTTCCGTCGGTATATTTATTCAGTATGTCCAGACCTCTACTCATCGCTGACACCATAACTAGTTCTGACTACCAGTTTTTCACCGGCCTATTTTTTATGCCAAGACTTCAGGTCATATCAAACAAGGGATGTCAAATTCACAACACTCCTACAATCGATCTTCCCATCAAATAAATACAACGTGTTTCTGATCACCTTTCGAACTGGCTTGAGATCAACATTGAGCGGGGAGTATGTGGGAATCAACTGAGCATTGTTTTTGGATTTTTATAAAAACAAAATGTCATGGCATTTCTAGAGTTTTGTAATCAATAAATTTTAATATATTTTTATACAGATGGAAATTATCTTTTATAAATTTACTCATTTCCATAATATAAATAATTGTTTTGCTAGTATTGTACATAAAATTTTTGCAACATGCACTCATTTAAATATGTATTTTTTGAAGTTGCGTCATCGCATATTTTATATAAAAAGTATGATATAATTTCTCAAATTTCTATTATTATATAAAGTTTTTTTAATAAAAACATACCTCGTTATTACATGTTTTGATCATTAGTAACGTCGGTTCATGTTGTTCGACTCGGAAATAGAACGTTGTAAGAGAACACCCATGTTCTTCTGTCGTATAAAGTAAAATTGGCTGATACATCGTAATTCTTACTGGTAGCCAAGACCAAAGCGTAAAAAGCTGAAATATTTGAAAACTTCAGTTAATAAGGGTTTTGATAGTAAAATCATAATATAAAATACTAATGATAATTAAACATTTAAAGTAAATAAAATTATATACTATACTAATTGTAGCACTAATTAAAATTAACACATACATCGACTAATCCAGACACTTACTTTCTCCTGATCTACAACCTGAGAATTGATCCTTTGAATGGGATAAAAACCCATTGACAAAGCACGAGGACCAGGTGAATGTTGTCCCTTAATGTTTTTAGCAAAGCAGCGTGAATAATAAATAGAAAATTTAACATGTGACATGAAACCAGTTGTGACTCAATGGGTATCCTTGTAAAACCCCATATTAATGTGATCGAATCCAATCTTTTATTGGATATTTTCAACCGTTTAATATATATGATCAATGAGCAATGAAGTAGCTCATTGAACATAAATTGTTATATATTTCACTCTATAGCGATTCCAAGACTGATGCTTGTTTTGTTTATTTAGAATTAAATTTAAATGCGATAAGTACAGAAAAACGTAGAAGAAGCTTCTGATTCCGTAAGAGTACATTTTAAATACATAAACTAACCTCTCTAATTGTGAGCGTGTGAGACATCATTTGAATGTTGACTTGACTTTGACTAGTCGGCAAGTTGTCGTTGGATCGTGATCGAACCAGGTGCCGCGATCCATTTAATACTGATCTACTTTTCAGAACCATTTCTGTCTTGATAAAAACCCTCGATATGTAGGCTGAACTGAAGTTGAAAAAAAAACATTAATAAATATTTACCTACATGCATGTGCCTGGAATTTTTTTTGTTATGATAAAACATCGTTGACTACGTTGACTATTGTACCTTAGTGCTCTAATACTGAATGAAGTCCGCAATAATTTTGTCGGAGAAACGGGAATATTCTGAGAAAACTTCATGATTGCACTTTCCGCCCCATTATTGAGTTCATTTGCCCATACTGAGTTCTGGGTATTGCAATGCTTATAGAATAATTGCAAAATTGCAATCGCCACTCGATACCAAACCTGGTGAATAAAAAAATATACTAAAAATGAAGAAATAACAAAGATTTAAAAATATATAAATATGTATGAGAATGATTAATTATTGATTTATTTCATTTGCTACTATTGAATACTGGCCTTGGATATCCAGTTGCAGTTAATTTTTAACATATACTTTGCGCAATAAATGTATCGATTTGTGCATTAGTATAAACCTGCGTAAATGAAAATTGTAGACTATTAAGTAAATTCGATGTTAGATATCATTTATCAAATCTCATTATTTAAAATAAATATGGTTTCGAATATTAATATCTGAGTAATAAAAATTGTAAAAAAACAAGTTATATTGTTTCTTGTATTGTCATTTATGAACAAAGAAGTCTTTTTGGGCATATAAATCCGAGCATAGTTCTCCCTTATCCCAAGATTTCAAAACGATAAATTGAATTTCATTTTTATAATATAATAGATTATCCATATCTTGTTCCTTATATATTAGTTTTTATCTCAGTTGATTGAGTGAGAGAAAATAACTTTGTAAAATATTTGTTATAAATAGCATTCAGTTATTAGTAATAACTGATTACTGCTTGTGCATTGATGTCTCCAATTCTATTCATTATGATTTAATCCTTTGCGAACTCTTTTCCAAATTTAATGTTACCACCACTATAATTCATCAGAATTTTCCATATGGATATCTTTCAAATTTATGGATAGTTGAAAAAATTTAAAAATGTTGATTTACTTCATTGTTGAAAATTGAAATATACTTTTCTCTACTCAGTGGAAGTGTGGCAGTATACACACAATTTCATGCTGGAATGTGCACCTGTCTATTTTCATTATACTTTCACCATTTTAAAAAACTGACATAAAAATGGCTAAAAATCTTATGTACTTTCTACATTATTCAAGAATTCATTCCAAGAGAATCTGAACAAAATTTTAACTTCCTCGTTGAGTTATCATAGATCTCCACGTAAAAAATAAAGTATCGTATTATTGTTAAGTATTTGAAGAATTGTCCTAATCATTACCCACTCAGCATTACTCACCACACTATCCACTCTCAAATCATTATTTGAGATTATGTACAATATTTTACTTTGGTCTAAATATGCTTGGCGTCAAAATCAGGATCTTTGGTGAGAAGCATCTGAACTGCTATCAATTTTCAATATATATTAGTGTGTTTAATATAAAATAATTAAACTAGTTCAAATAATTAGATATATATTAGAATTTATATATTTTGTTACTAGCTTTCTTCTAACACTCTTTATCTTAAAGTACTCGAGAAAGTTTTAATTTTCGTTCTATATATTTCTACAGAAATTGACCACCCCCAAGGGGTAGTGGGCAACAATGAGTTTTTATATAGCGCTGTAGATAAAATATTTTACGAATAAATGACAAATACAAGAAACAATAAATGGTTAGCAATGTATACTTCATGTTGAGTCATTAACCAACCTTATTCATTACACGATAATCAATAGAAATCATTTACATCAAAATTTTCGAACAATATTTGTAATATCGTTTACTGTAGTTTGAAGTTATAAAATCATAATAAAAAATAGTTATAAAAACCTTAATTCCTTCATGGAAGAAGCAGTCCATTACACGAACAAGATGTGCAAATGGCAGACCAGCCAAAATCCACCACATCCAGTCCATGTATATTCGTTCAACTCTGGATTCAGAGCATTGTCGTGTTAGATATGCTGTGGCAGCTTTCTAAAATAAAATCCATGAAACATTAAATTTTATTTTAATTAATTGTGAACACACTTAGCATAATATATTAAGATGACTTACAGCATATTTTTTCGCTATCTGCATAACTGTTTTCCATGTTACTTCATACAGAAGCTTAGTTTGTGTAATGAAGACTTTGTCACGGGCAGCAACAAGACTAGCCAGGCAGTGATAACATTCCTCTTCTGAATAAAGTAGAAGAATATTAAAAAAATATTAAAGTACACAATTGACAACAGAATGTCGATGACTAAAACTAAATAAAATCAGAAGAGCTAAATAAACCCAGAATCACCGCAAAACTAATTATCTTCTATATAAGGTGGAAATCCAAGTAAAACCATTGATTTTGAAATGCTATGCAAAAAAAAGTTAAGGCTTCACAATAAACACTAAAGATTTCAAATCCTCAACTTGGATATAGCAAAAACGAGTATAAATTTCATCTTGGATAGGCACGACTGAGATTCTGAACATAACGAAGAACAATTAGGGTACTCACCTGACATGAAATGAAGCAGTAATGTGCATATAGGATAAAGACTAGGACTGTACGTGATATCTGGACAGGCATAACCAAGAACCGATACGACTCTATCGGCCACACCTCTTCCTCTTAAACTTAAGTGGTATGGCAAGCAATGGGAAGCGTCAACGAACTGCGGCAGTAGGATGGCTTTATTTGGCAACTCTGTTGTTCCAAACACCTAAATGAACAAAAAAAATCAAGTTAAAGATTTCTTCCTACAAGTGTTGTAAATACCATAACATATGGATTAAATAACAAAAGAATACGTATCAGCAGATCATACAGGGTCCGGCACTCCAAGTGTAACCAATTGAAAAAGCCATAAATTCAGTTTAGAAAATTACTTTTACTCGATTCAAAGTACAAAATGTGTAAAAATAATACAACATTTAAAAACAATTCACTTTTGCTCGATATTATCACCCTTTGCTTTTACTATGGCCTTTAGACGGTCCAAAAACAAATCGCATTGGGCCGAACGTGACTTGCAGGTATTTTGGCCCACTGGTTTCATGGATTAATATTTTATAAACATTACTCAAACTTAGTCCATCGTTTTTATTATTATATATTAGGACGAACTAGAAAGCATTTGTATAAATTTTAGATTGGAATTTTGTTTATTATAAATTCATACAATTTTCCTCAAACCCTAAGATAAATCTCCAAAGTTTTGAGTAACTGCTTACAAATTGTGAGCTTCACTTCATAGCTATTTTAGTTTTAGGTCAGAATTTATTATCATAAGGTCAAGATACGGCAGCTTGCATACAAAAATTAAATAATAGTTTACATTACAATTTCAAATTTAGTTTTCTCCTAATCTAAATACTTTTTATTGGCAAAATTTATAAAGAGGGACTCGCCCGTAGGTAAGCGGTTAAGAGCGACGGGACTTGTTTCAAGAGGTCCCGGGTTCGATAGCCACTTTGGGCAGCCTGTTGTCAGGTAACATTGACAACGATCTTCGCTTGGAAATATAGATAGCAATATGTTTCCAAGTGAAAATAGCCCCTGCCCGGCATTGCTTCACCAATAAAATGTCAGCCCTGTTAGATTAATTCTAATAACAAAATCATCAAATATGGATGGATTACCATCTAAAAAAAATACGGAGTAAGGAGTTTCAACCCAACAGCTCACAGCACGTAAGGTTCTGATTGCTGTTTTTTTTTAAAATAAAAAAAAATAAAAAGAAAAAAATTATGAAGAAAAGACTTTAAATTGGTGAATATTGATTGGATAAAAATTACATGTTTGATTGTTTATTAAAAATGAATGGCTTGACTGTTGAAACTAGACATAAAGGGCAATTTGTTGATAATTGTCTTAATCACTTAGTCAATAATTGTCTTAATCACATTTAAGAATTAAAAATCAGCAACCTTTAAAATGGTTGCGATCAAATTTTTAACCATTTATTTTAAATATAAAGTTTATACTAAATTTCGAATAGATATCTTACAAACACGCTTATAATTTCTGTATTGTATTCATTATAGAGCACGAACACGAATATACAAGGTGTATATTCTAAAAGCGCAAACCATTATTCCAAACTTATTTCTATAATTAAACTACTTGTCGTAATCTTGTAATATTTGTTGGCTAAAACAAACTACTTCTTTCGGAAGATGAAAATGATTTCGAAGAACGGATACCTTAAAGCATCTATTTAAATAAAGGTCTAATTGAAAAATTATAGCTCCGTTACCTAGGATATATAATATGTATATTACAATAATAAAATATCGAATTGTAACATAAAATTTTAATTTCAAAATAGCGAATGCTAGGATCTAAAAGCTTTTTATTATGAAAAATTAAAATTTAACACTCTGATACATTAAAAATATGTAATGAATATTTTATAAAACGCATTCTATAAACTCTATATATTTAGCACAAGTTAATATTGTTTGCAATGTATTATAAACGTAATATACCCAGCGTATTAAATAATATTGGGAGCGTCGTTTTAAAATTATATTCAAAATTCAAAATCTAAGATCATTTTAACTTTGTATGAAGCATTATAACCTCTATTCTCATGGTTATTAACGCAAACCTAAATTTGGACTTTTGTATTTATAAAACTATCTGAAACCTTTAATATATATTATAGGTTTCAGATAGTTTTTATTCCATCAGTTTAGTTTTTACCTGGTTCACCATATCCCAATAGAAACCATCTAACATGGTCTTTCCAATTTGGTGTTGTGCGCAGAGCAAAGGCCATAGCTGGGAGCGCACGATGCTGGTCACCGGCCATGAGTTCTCTCTTAGAGCTAATTTCACTTCACGTTTACGACCTTGCGTCAATAAGGTTTTTATGTCTTCAAATGATTTTAAAGACGGCTTCTTTCCTGTAACGGTAATAAAAGAATTATCTTAACACACTATAGGCGGGCAGCGTAAAATTACGTTCTGCGAGGACTGTTGCTTATCGGCGGGCAAGGTATTATTACGCTTTGAATAGACTAACTTTAAAAGCGGGTCAAAATACATTTATTTGATCGGTTTGCATATGACATTTGGTACTTTTTTCTAGATTTAATTAGATTTCTAGATTTACGTATTGAAAGACTTATGGAATAAGAATAAGGATAAGAAACAATATGTTTTATCTTCAAGTTTCTTTTCATGCAAGCTACTCGCAATTTGTTTTGTAGATAAATATGCAGAATTTACAACAATAAAAGGGTGTTCAATATATATTTTATCAAATATTTCAGTTATTAGTCAGATTTGTATAGTTCAACTTTTTTTTACATTGTTATTTGCAATAATAAAATAATGGCATCGGACAGCGATAGTAAAGTTTGCGCCGATAATTTATCACAAATTCGAAGTGATTTTGATATCACTGATTTTGGTAGTGTATGTCAGAGTGATGAAGATTTTTTTCATCCTAGAACACGTAGAGTTTTAACGATTATTTTCAGAGATTCTGAAAATAGTGACAGTGACAATGAAGAAGTGGAGTGGCCAAAATTTGACAATTCTCCAATTATTGAATCATTTTTAGGTCAAAGCTGTTTTGCAACCAAATAGTGTAATTGAAGTGGTTCAGCTATTTTTGCTATTCGAGTCCCAGCACCTTTTTATAAGGGTGATTTTTTCCATAAATTTCACCCATGTAAATAGTAGTTTATATATCTACTGTACGTTAAATTTTTAACTTTCCATAGATTAGTTATAACTAACCTATATATAGTAATGAGCGGAAAATCAAGAATAACTTTTTTTGCATTTTTCCACGGTTTGGAGTTTGGAGGTTTCTGAACATTTTGGCATACCTCAGAAAAAATTGATGTGTCTATGTGTGTGCGTGTGTGTTTTTGGTGGCCGCATTTTTTCGTTCACGTTTTCGGGCGCACGGATCAACCGATTTGAATGGTTCAAAAAACATTCGATTCTATTGCTATGAAGATGTGCTGATTAGCTTTTGGCAGAACCAGGTCCAGCCGTTACGGAGATACGGAGCAAATAGTAATGATTGGGAGAAGTCGTGATCAGTTTTTGGCAAAGGCAGGTTCAGCCATTTCAAAGATATGAAGCTAAATGTAGACAAAATGTCAGTTTTTGAGAGAAATAAGCATCCGAATTGAATGATTCAAAAAACACTCTGATTATGTTGACGAAACAATTGCTTTAGGAAAAAAATATTTCATTCAATACTCAATATTCCTCGAACATTTCGTTACGATACAGGAAGTTTCAGCAATTTGCCTTAAGGTACGATGCCATACGCCACTAGATTTTGTTAGTTTTATGTTCAATTATGCATTAATTAAATACATTTTTTATAGTTCAAAACAACCAGACGGTTTTTTTTAAAAAACAGAAAAAGAGTTATAAAAAAAGTGTGTTTAATGTGACAGCCAGTTGTGTTCATGCGAGGCGACGGAAAGAGCACTCGTGTTACTCGCGATTTGCCCGCTACACATATCAGTTTGGTCCGATGAGTAATTTTACGGGGCCCGCCTATAGTGTGTTAAGTACAAATGCTCAAGTCAAATTTAATATGTAATTGATTTTTCTTAGTTTTGCACATGAATTATTTGAAATCAAAAAATTATAAATAATCCCTAAACCATATAAACTAAAATATTATGGTCGTGATTGTGGCTGTATGATATTCGAAACATTTGTACCAAGGTGATTTATGTGTTGTTCCCATAAAATTATTGAAATGTGTGATCTCTTGCAAGTCTCTCACACTATAATCAAAGAAACGTTACTAATTAATTTAAATGTATCTTGTTTTCTTAGTGTTCACTTCTGAAAAGTCAATATATGTTATTTTTAACCATTTTCAAAGGGGTGCACGTGGACAATCTCATATCATGATCTAGTTAGTTGTATTCTTCCTCACTTGAAAATATACATCACAAATGTTTCCAATAGAAAATGATTATATATATATTAGGCAAAGGGGCAATAATTATGATGAAATTTCAATCACATTTATTATCGAGGCTTTTAAATTTACTTAATTATTATTTTTTAGTCGCAACTATAATTTTATTATTAGGTTCATCAAATTTCTGTTCATATCGATTAATTGATGTATCAAAGGGGGGCTCACTTTAAGGACGTTCCCCCATTGCAATGATGATTGTAGCCATATTTATTAATGTTTGCTGTGATAATAAATATTGCTAATGCCAATAATAAAAACAAGAGTAATTTGAATTCTGTAAAATGCGCGTAATTTTGACCGATAAAAAGTTTTAGTATTTATTCATATAAATTCATCATAAATATGTGTTTCAAAATTAAAATCATTATATTCTTGTTTTGGTTAATTCTATTGTCTTCACCCGTAATATATCTCAATCACAATCGAATCTGTTTTTATAAGATTTTTTTCGTACTGAATTTCAATGGTGATTTATATTTTGTGGCTGCTTATGGGTACACCTACGACGCATTTGTTTAATTGTTGTTAATTGTATTTATATTGCAAGCAATTATTCGTGTTTAACACGTTCAAATACCAATTTAATTTTCACGAACAAGTTTGACTAATATTAAAATAAAATCCTAAACAGTGGGACGAGCAATAAAAAACAAAAAATATTCTTTCATATATTAAATATCACATGAGTCGTGTTAAGGCAGCCCTGGAGTAATAGAAAACATTTGTAGGCGAATGCGAAAAATTAATAAAAAAATATTCAGAAATTGATAATTAAAATTTTTTATAGGAGTTAAAATCTGAAATGATTTTTGATATTTATTCAAAATTGATTTCGTTAAATATAAGCCTGGGGCAAAAAAATAATATTTTTCGACTATGCCTAAAAACTCAAATATATTTTATAATATAGCCTTGCAAACTTAATATTGTTTATAAACTTTGGATCAGTAGAAATAGAAATTTTTGACGATTCCTGAAGAATTTCATATATTGTATAATGCAATCTTACAATCTTTATGCAGTTTATCATCCATTTGATGGCATAATGCACATGAGCTTTGTGTGAGCTGTATTTAATATCACAAATAATAATCATAATTCTTAAGTTATTGTGATAAAATTGTAAATTGTTTGGATGCGGATAGAATATTTAAAAAAATTCAATAATTATTTTAAAAATATTTAACATTATTCGCTAGTTTTTTTAAACAATCTCAATAAATCTGGATTAAAATTTAATTCAACTATTATTTATTCTCCTGGAGCAAATGATGCATATAAACAAATTCAAACGATCAAATATCCTGATTCTGAATATGATTCTGATATCTATGAAACTACAATGACAATAGAAGAAGCAGATACAATTGTATACAATGTTTATATTATAAAAAGCTGTCAAAATAAATCATATGATCTCAAATTACCTGTAATACTAATATTAATGCATTCAGTACCCCGCGTCGTCCTTGAAGAGCTGTCGTTACAATCATCGTAGTCAATTATGTTATAAGAATTTCTACGATTGCAATCTTGATTGAAGTTATACTTGTAATGCATATTATCTCCGTCACTAGTCAACATCGCAAATTTAGCACATTTATAATCACCTGACGGTTTATGACGTACTGTTTTAAAATCATATTTCCGGCAGTAATCCTAGCAATTTAAATTCATTCATAAAACGCGTGCCACTCATCGTCTCAATGATCACAATAAATGCAGATAAATGACCAAAAGCTGGTTGATAAGTTGCACAAAATTTAGTAATAGAACGAATTTCTATGAATCACTATCTAATGTATTTTCAGATTTTTTATTTATAATAGGTAAACACTTTTACTAATGTTGTTAATGTATAATGTATTAAACAGGATGTATTAAAAAAATATTATTAGGATTCTATAACCACACCGCTAATATTAAATCGTTAGCACAAAAATATTTGATTTTATATAAGATATAGATATAGATATTCCACGTTTAAAATTATGCATATATTTTATTAACTTCCCGTAGGGTAAGTTATAGTAATCGCAAAAAATCGAAAATGAAAATTTTTATGTATCCTTACGTTTGTATGTGTGTTCGGATACAAATTTTCGTCGACGATTTCGAGAACACGGATGAAGCGATTTGAACAATTCAAAAAACATTCGATTCGTATTGGTAAGGAGACGTGCTGATTAGTTTTTGGCAAAGGCAGGTCTAACCGTTGCAAAGATATGGGGCAAAAAGTGCCAAAAACGGTAACTTAGTTTTTAGGAGAACGGAGCGTCCGATTTGAATAATTCAAAAAACATTTTACTTGTATTAACAAGATGAAGAACTGATCAAATTTTCATGAAGGCAGGTCAAGCGGTTTCGGAGATCTAGTAAAAAAAAATAAAAAAAAAATGCCATCTGGCGGTCAAAAATGATCATTAGGCATATGCACATCAAATTATCAGATATTTTATAGATATTTTAATAATAAGTATTAAGTTTGTTTACATTTCAATGCTTATCCGTTAGACGGCGGTGCGGCGCTTACGCGCATCGATATTTCGTCTCTATGCAGTTAAAGCAGTACGATCGCTTTGAAAAAACGTTCAGAATTTCCAAAATATTTCAAAATACACTTTTCTTCAAAGTCTTTTTTTTCTCAAAAAAAAGTAAATTTTTGTCAAATTTATAGTTTCTTAAAAACCTAATTTTTCAGAGTAAATTTTTTTCAAAAATGTTAATCTTTTAAAAAAAAAAATTTTTAATTTTTTGCGCCCCACTAGTTAATATCATTTTACACCGAGCAGTTTGTTTCTATACTTATTAAAATAAAATATATAAATTGTTCCACCGTTTCTGGTTTTTATTATTTATGATTAAATTTTTCTGAACTAAAAGCCTACTTTTTTCTTCAAAAACTATTTTTTAATATTTTGTTATTTATATGTATATATAATTATAACAAAGATTTTATAAATTAATCTTTAATTCCAAACGTTTAATTTAATGTCATCATCAGTGGATATTGAAGTCGTTATCTTACACCTAAAAATGTGTACACAGCACAAAAGTTAGCACTAAATTTTACACTAACTTGTCAATAATCAGGATTTTCTATGTTCCTTTTTTGTGTAAATAGGAAAAATAATGAGAATTAAAAAGCTAACGTACTATTACAATAAGTTCGTTTGCAAAAACATTAGCTTCAGTGTCCGAGACCTATATTTTGGATATATTTATTAATATTGTATTAATTAATAATGCCTTTTATGTTAATGATATTATAATTTAATATAACAATAAAAATGGCATGGTTCTGCTAGAATGGAGAATCAACATTTAATTACCCTCATCTCACCCCAACTGAAAAAATATTAAACGAAACAATGTATCAACTATATAAAATGATTGAAATATGAAAATGCATCCTAATACATAAAAATATTTATGACTATGAAACTAGATAGATACAAAAATTTCAGGTTTAACACTCTAAAACAAAGAAAGGATAAGTTAGTTTTGAAAGATAAGTTTTCGAATGAAAAAACTAAATAAAAATTCCAAATTAGAAATGAACTAAATCAATTTTATTTTATATTTTATAGGAAAAATTTATACTATATTGTTATTGCTGTTTCATTCTTTTCCTATTTATTTATTTATATTTTTGTATGTGTTTATATATGAAAATGAACTATTCCAAATAAAATAAATAAATAAATTTCAAAAATAAAAAAATCAGACTACATATATTGTTGCATCGACAAGCTCTTTTTTAATCTGAATTCCAAAATTAGAATTTCATCCCATATATAAAATTTATCAATCAGTTGCATTTATTTTTTGCTGAAAACAATAGCTGATTTGATTACAAGATCACGTGAAGTCAATTAACACATACACTCCGGGACGATTTTCATAAATCCCGCTATTCGGGTTAAAGAAACAGCTTCCAGGGGAGGATAACCCTTTGTAGTGATTCGAAAACGATAAGTAAAAATGAACGAGTAAGAAAGTACCTACTCTAATTCTCTACTGCTACTTACAATCTTTATAATGTACTTTGCAGGATGCATTTGTTAAGATCACTGTTTATCAAATGTAAACCTTAAATGGAAAAAATATATGAAACGTGAAGTTTTCTTAAAATTTTAGATTCTATTTCAAACTTTTGCAGATGTAAATATTATATACGAATTTTTTGCTTCTGTAATATATAGCAAAGTCATTTCGGAGCTTGAAAAACATGAGAGTAATTCTTTCTAGCTTTCCGTTATTTATTTACGTTCATACTTTTGTATAAATAATTTGCTAAATTTGAGCGATTTTTATGTGCAGAAACAGGCTAAACGTATTGGAATAATTAGAAAATATTAATCAAAATATGACCAGTTGTGATCAAATGATCCTCTTTAAAAGCACTAATGAATAAAATTAGGCATAAAAGCATTTCTTTAAATCAAATACTAATCCTATATATGTAATGATTCGAATTTATACTTAAATGTTCTTTCTGATTTCATACTTAACTCTGATAATAAATAAAGCACATTACATTATTAATATTGAATATTATGTTTTAATTACATTGATCATCAAATATTATTAATGTAATGTACTTGATTTTATTATTTGTTGTCAATGTTGATTAATACACAAAGTGAACACTTTTAAAATATACTATCATTTCCTTATCTCATCAAACTCTACAAAAAAAATATGTTTTTACTACAAAAAGTTGATGAAAATTATAATCAATTTTCCTCATTTTTGTAATATAGAAAGATGCCGCGGCACGAAAAAGCTTTCGAATAAAAATGCACAAATAAAATATAATTGACATGAATCTCATAATAGAGAATTATATTTGAAGATTTTTTTAAAAAAACAAAACTCAATTATCGAATAATTGACTGTGTTTTGTTAACATCATCGATAACATTATAGCTCAGGTATAATCACGATTTAATCACATTTGATATCACCCACCTAATTATTAAAAGTCATCTTTAAAGAATTATTTTAAAAAATCTTAATATTTCCCTCGATTATGAAATTAATTTTTTGTTTTACACAGCTTTTTAGTTTAGACTTTTACAATAAACAAAATTAAATCACTTTCACTTAGAAAATATGACTAATATGGCAAACGTTCTGAATGTTTGAATAAAAAACACTAACTATAAGCACAAAAATTAGGCTAAGAAAAACGCGAAGAGTGAATCTATTGATGCGCACGGCATATAGTTTCTGTTAGCACATTTCATAACCTACGCGATAATTGAGGCATATTTAGCGACTCTAATATATTACAAATATAGTATCATGAGTTTATAATAAGATTATACAAATAAACATACGTTAATGGATACTAGATGGCTCCAACCGTTCCATCTATTAATACTTTCAAACCTGTAATTTCATTTTTGCCATGATCTATTTACGTTCGTTTTCCTGATATTTTTTGAAAATCATGTAACACTAATAACACTAATAATTTACTTAATATAGAATAATAAAAAGCTAGCATATGTAGCATTTTGCCTTGAGGCAAGTTGCATGAACTTTCCGATATGTGTAATAAATGGACTTAATTAATAAGAAATCAATATATATTTATCTAAGTGATCCCGAAGTATATCGAGTTATGGTAGGACATTTAATTTTTTGAAATCAGTGTTTTTTGTTGAGAAACATTGACAAAAAATAAAATTTTCACACACACATGTATCTCTTCCAAATTTGATATTTAACGATTTAAAATCACTTGAAAAGTAGAGAGAACACAATGTTAGCGAATCGTTTTTTTCTGGCAAAAACAAACTTTTCCTTCCGCAAGTTAATAAAATTTGCATAAATAATACCCAAAATTGCATGAATAACATTTTCGATTTATTTTGTTAGTTACTGTACACAAAACTAATCAAAATCTATTCTCTGAAGTCTACTATAAAATACTTTTCTTTTGGTTTTTTCTTAGAATATGATATTATCTGAGCTTATTTGTTAGGGATGAAACATGACAAAAATTACTCACAAATAAGCCCTGAAAATATTGCTTATAGAATATATCTGCGTTTGTTTTTGCAAACAATTTTATTTCTTAAGGCTGCAATTTCTTATTGTTTGTATTTAAATCGATTAAAAAAATGTCGATCAAATTTTGTGGTTCATACTAACTAAATTCCTGAATTTTGCTTTTCACTTCCATATTATTCGCTAATTGAGTATGGTAACAACTAAGACAGTTGGAAAGTTAAATAAAAATTAAAATCATATTGTCAAGTCTGTTTGAACTCATATAAAAAGATTCCGTTCAGCTTTTTGTTTTCGTGATGGAGAGATGTAAACGTAACTTAAACATAACTTTAAGAGATGTTTTTCGCGTAAGAGTAAATTTTTATCTTCATTTTCAATTCTTATTTTGAATACTATTTCATAAGTTTTACAACTTCAATCTGTATTGAATCATAAAAAGTAATTAATTAAAAATTATCTTTAACTTTGAAGAATTTATAACAAATTCAATTATAGAGAGATTCAAGTATAGAAACTTAGAAAGATATACTTTCATACAAATGTTTCTTGTACAATTATGTATAAGAACATCTATCTATATTAATATATTTGCATAGCAAAGTTAATATGAGGGAATTAATAGATAAGAAATTTAGTAAACATTTGGATGGCTCTCTGGCAGTAAGATTTCGCAGTAACTAATTCAAAGTATTTATATCAGGGCCTCGTATCATCCTGAATATGCATGTACTAATTAAAATAATTACTAATCGTAGAGTAGTAAGCTATAAAATTTATAGCATTTTTTAAATTATCTCTGATTCTTTGGAAAATATAAGGACTGATTCATTCATTTGAATTGTGCTCGATAGTAAGAGTAAATTGTATAAAGTGAGCTTGAGTAATGCTTTGTAATAAAGCATCGTTTGCTTCATCAGTTGGAATATTATTAAATTTGGGATAAGGTTAAAATACTACACAAATCAACTACTATAAAACGTGTTTAAAACGTCTTAAACGACTTTGTGCCTTTTTATAAATGGCAACCGAAACAGTTGTTTTATCTCTATGTAATGATTTCAAATACAATTTCTGTAATACTAATGAATTATTATTGATGTGTGTGCATCTAAGTTGGGGAAGAGCTATTTCCACTTGGCAATCTACATTTTCAAGTAAAAACCCATGACACATCACTGTTGCCATCAGGTTGTCCGAGGCGGAGAATCAAATTTAGAACCTCTGATTGAAATCCCATAGCTCTACCACTAATCCACATGGGGGTTGGGAGCATGATGATGATTTGACATATTTTAATTATTTTAACTTCAGATTTCGAAAAACTGATGCAAATTTAAGAGTCTCGCTCTATATAAATGCTTTTATCAAATTAAATTTAAATCTCACCTGGTGAAGATTCCGGCTGGACTGAAATTTGAGTATGATCGACATGCGGGGGAAAAACCTCATATATGTTTCCCTCCTCCTCTATCCCAGACAACATAACGCCGCACTTGTCCCTTTCAGAATTTTTGAGTTCTTCTATTCCTAAAATCAATCATGGAATTTATTTATCGTTATTACAATGGAATAATTTCTAAGGAATAAAAACCACGCCTTACTGCACCAACTTGTCCTAGGACCAGAATGTTTAGAAATGAAAATATTTATTTGATTTGAAAACGAAGTCATTTGCCTGCAATTACTACATTTTTAATTTAGATTATAACTAATAAATTGGTTAAATATTGCACAAAATGCCATCGAATTTGCAGTAAACTATCTGAGAAACTGTTGCTTTTGAAATTATGAATAATTGACTAGAAAATGTAAAATTTAGCTATGCATAAATAGCTAAATAATAAGTTATAGCTTTGTATTGCCTAGTGAGTAATAAGTTATAGCTTTGCATTGATTTATCAAGTATTTCAAGTATTCAGATATATATTTATCAACTTATTTTTCAAGAACAATATTTTCCCAATATAATCGACGTTTTTCACATATTCTAAACTTGACAATTACTTCCAAAACTGATCAATTCTAATCATAAAGTGTTTCAACAAAAGACTTCATCCATTGCTCGTTTATTACAAAGAGCATCCCATAAGATGTTTTGAATTGCAAATCTTTTCTTATTCTGCTAACTAAAATGACTAATTAAATTTGATTAATAAAAAACTTTTACTACTTTAAATTTTTCCACGTGTAATAATAATTTACAATGTTTTTGTGTTTCCTATTAAGCAAACTCCACAAGATCATAAAAATATAACAAAATAAACATGATGTAAAAATAGATTTGAGTGAAGAAAATGCTTTAATCTCTTTATTTGTGAAAGATAAGCTGCCATATACATTTATATATATATATATATATATTATATATATATATATATATAATTTACTTTTCTTACTTTTCATTGCACTGTATTAATCACTGCTCTCTATATTATCTAATTTTTGGAATTAATTAATTAATTTATGAAAATAAGCATTAAATACATGAAAATTGTTTCAAATAAGCCATTAAATATATGAAAACTATTTCAAAATGAGATCAGAACATATCTTCGATTTGAGACTTGATCTAAGAATAAAGTAAACGAACTTTTACATAGTATTTCTTGAATTTGTACATAGTATTTAAAAAACATAAGCTATTGTTCTTTGTCTAAATGCATTGTTGTTATTTCAAGATTGAATTAAAATTGTCTTACTACAAATGGTTGTAGTTATTGACAGTTTTAGAACAATGTACTTTCCTGCAAACAATGCAACAAAATTGTTAACAATTTGGCATTATGTTCATATATGAATCTTCGTCAATTTGTTAATAATAATGTAAAAGTTTCCATCGATTTTACAGTGTTTTTAAAAATTTAAGGAAGTGTGAAATGTAAAAAATCACCTTGGTAAAAAATCTTCTGTATTCTGAAAATCAGACTAGTAGTTTAATTTGGTGTAAGTGGCATTTTGCCTTAAGGCAAGTTGTTGGAACTTTTCAACATGTAAATAATCGAGTTAATCAATAACAATGCAAAACAATATATTAATTTGCGTGTGATTTCATAAGTGTACCAGGTTGCTGTAGTGCATTATAATGATGTAAATTACTGCAGGTACATAATACAGTTTTGTACAAGCCATTCGATAAAATGGTATAAAGAGTATTTTTAAAAAGCGCGGCCCATTAATCCAAACTTAAATTACTTTTTATAATTAAACCACTTGTCGCAGGCTTCTTCGAGTCGAGTTTTATTAAAAGTATTTTAGCAATCAATTACAAACAAACGACCCTACCAATCTTTGGCAAAAAAATGATCAGCGCGTTTCTCAAATCTTAAGAATATTTTTTGAATTTTCAAAATCGGTTCAGTCGGAGTTGGTTCATTTATTAGCAATTTGCAAAAATTACTTGGTTGCTGGCACAAAATATAGCTCTGACTGCAACAAAAATACTAAATTGTAGAAGTGAGGATTAACATATTGGCCGCGGATTTTTTTTATTCAGGTGGTAAGAGTTCAAAAGGGAGTGGTTCAATCCTCGTAAACTTTTCTTCGCCATTCCTGAATGTTTTATGTAACTCATTTAATCTTATATTCTTGATTCTTCAACAATGAAAAAAAAACAAAAACAAAGAAAGCATCATCTGTTTCTTACTTCTAATCAACTATAAATAATAAACATTAGTATTCGTTACTTGGTAATATTACTATTAGTTATTAAATTCAGTAAGTTAAATTCAATCATATAAAAGGCGCGAAACTAACTAGCAAATAATTATAACAGGTTACTGAAACCCAGCCTTATCTCAGAAGATCATTTTACCTCTTTTCTTTGTTTGAGAGGATTTTTGGAGAAAATATTAGCAGTGGTTTGGTTGACTTATGAATTGTTAAACCATTTTTTCATTTTATAACTAATAGTAAGTAAGGCATCTCTAATTATTAACGTTTTGATTTTTTTGAAGAATCAGTTGAAAGCAAAATCAATAAATTGCTCTTATCTTCCACACAATGAAAAAATACTCAAATTCATTGTGATTTTATATTCGTAATCCCTATTGATATAAATATATATTTTTATATTTATATATTTATGTAATCAAATGTACTTATCTAAAGGTATAGCAGAGACTCAATTGTAGAGTCTAATAAATGCAATTCAAATGTCATATTACATTTTAGCATAGAATTATTATTATCGGATATTTTTACCTTGCCATGTAATGCACAAAATATCATCAACCACTTTCTATAAAACAAAACAAACTCTCGAAATACATGAAACACATTTCGGCTGATTTAAAACAGTACATGAAGTACTTTGACAGACACAAAACAATAAATTATTGAACATCCGCACAACAACAAGAAGGCGTATTATATTATTATTTTTCACAGCACATTATTATCGCACATTTGTCCTAAATTGATACGAAATGAAAACTTAATAAATAGGACCGTATCAAAAATTATTATGAATTATCTTCTATTATAATCATGATACTGGTGACAGATTAAAGATCTATTGACAGTGTTGACAGCTGTCAAGTGACAGGAAGGGGATATTTTTCATTCTTTGCAATATTTGGTACTCAATTTGACGTTTCACTATAATCTGGCAACTCTCTAAAAAATGGCACATTCTTGATTCTTTTAGATTTCAGTTAATGAGTAAAAAATGTTATCAAAAAGTGAGATTAGTAATGTAGAAGTTTCAGCATAGAATTTTTTCATTGGAAATTGTCATCGTTGATTTAACAAGAAAATTAATTATTCACGTGGCACATCGATCTGGATCACTATGAACTCTTTTTTAATACTTTTCAATCAGCATATAACCATAACAATCAATTTCTGCTTAATTTCATAAAATTCAACACAATTTTGAAAACGATTGTACCATAGCAAAGATTGTGGATGGATGTGTTGATACCTATGTATATTAATATGTATACTCTTTTTTTATCTTTATATTAATCTGTACGAATACTATATGGAAGGTTGGTTAAGTATGTTTTTGTCAAAAGCATGGAAATGATATATAAATTAATGAAAACTCTTAAATGAATGAATCATATAATACTTTAATGAATAAACGCCTATAAATTAAGTTTCTTTAATTTTTTGATACTACTGCTATAATTCTAATCTGCTAAATACTTAATCTTTTACTTTGTATAAAACAGATTCGTTTAACATGAAAGTTTTTGCAAAACAACCATAGTATTATATGTACAATTAATGCTCTGAGTCTGCAATAAAACAAGCACATTGAATCTTTGATATAAAGTCTGGAACTTTAAAATAAACTAAAAAAAATAAATGAATCTTCTATTCATAGTTATATTTATTTTATAAAAAGTCTTAAGATTAGCTTATTTTAGTAAATATTGCAATAAGTGCATTTCATCCGATTTGATCATGTAAATGCCTTCCACTGCAAGGAATCTTACAAGATGTATATATAATATCTAATTTCATGCACGATTAAGTTACTTCTGATGCAACTAGTGATACAATAGAATTATAATAATCTGAACAAGTAATCTCAAAGCATTCAGTCCAGTATAAGAATATTATACATGACGAAATGTATAATTGTTGCACCCTGTATGATAGCGTATATAATATTAGTATTTTGAGTGGAGTAAATAAATTCTATTTGCTCTGACCGCTTTTTAAATTTTCAAATACTAAACGTCATATTTTAAAAAAATCTATATATAATAATCTATTAGGTTTAGGTACCTTAAAATAATAAAAAAAAAAACTTTGTTCTATATGTTCATACAAAATTACATAAAAATTTCTATATATTCATAAAAAATAACGTAAAAATAAACTATCATAAGGGTGGTTGTTAGTTGTTCAGATTATTCAAATCTTGCTCTATATATAAATTAGATTATTTTATATCAATTATATATATTTTCTTTATCAATCATCTTTACTCGAGTCGCTATCATGTCTAGGTTTTAACTGCACAGTATGTTTTAGAAATTCTATCTGCTCTTTGTTATTGTCGGTATATTCATTGCACAAAATTTCTTCACTGTAAATAAATGATTCATAGTCCGCTTCATTAGAGGTTGTCGGTGATTTTTCCTTAGATTCATCGTATTCAAACTTTTCACTGTCCAGGTTTTCCTCTGATTCTGCTGAATTTTCATCACTACTCTCTCTCTCCGGTTGCTCTTCTTTGATATATGGTTGTAGGATGTCATGTGCCATTGTATTATTTATAATATCTTCTTTTGCACTGATTGAATTATGTCTAATTGTATTTCGAATAGCATTGTTGTCTGATCCAGCTGTTCCATTTGTAAAATTTTGTGCCTTGGCGTTTGTCTTATATGTGTTATTCCAAGTATCACTATGTCGCCTCATGTGCTTTTCTGAACTTGTACTCTAAAAATGTTTAATTGAGAGTTAATGAAATTTTTTTTTAATATTAGGATATCACAAAATTGATTTTGGTTGATTGTCAATGAATTAAATTAAAATATGTTTTGATATGATTATCACAACAATTTTTTTCTGTTTTAACCATCACCAAAAAACAAATATGGCTTTCTAATTCTGTGCTATTTATATTAATGATTTTTTAAGCTTACTTTTTGGAAGGATTGGCTATATTTTCGCTTTAAACCATAATTTTGTTGAAGTGCAGCTTGAAGTAAAACTGATTCATCTGTAACAATTTCCTCATGTTTCAAATCCGAAGAATTAGAGTTTTCATGTTCTCGAGGAGCAGAGTTAGCAAGTCCTTTTACCTATAATATAAAAAAATTGTTAGAAAATTCCAAATATGAAATTAGGTCATATTTTGTGAAATAATTATTAAAATAAATCATTCTTTTCATCACAAGGAGGAGCTTGTAAACCGAAAGTACTAAAAACTATTAAATAGATTATTTCAATAATACATGGCTTAATATTAAAAATTTTGGAAGTGACAAAAACATAATATGCTTCAATTGAATTAATTATTTAAATACAAATAATGTCTGCATGTCGTCTTTGAATGTTAAGGAATACAATTATGCATAAAATTCCATTATATGTCGATTAATGGATTGCAAGAACAAACAATCATCAATAATTAACTGGCAATTAAATTATAATTTGATAGTGTAAAGTACCCGAAATTCTTCCGCTGCAGCAAGAAATTCAGCTAAGCGATTTTGCTGCACATTGACTTCACCCCGATACATAAAATCCACCAAGGCCCGTATCTCCCAGAGTGCCGATCCCCGCAATACTACCACTGGGTGTTGACATGGATTTTCTCGGAATAAATCAGAGAAAAATCCACTACATGATGATAAAACCATCTAAAAAACATAATATATAAATAGTGTGAGATAAAAATGGTTCATATGTCTTGAATGTAGTATATTAGATAAAATAAATTAGTATTTGTTTTATCTATCTAACCTTGTGGCATTTAATAAATTGTCCTTCGCAAGCAAGAGTCACATCTACAAATTCCTCAGAGTCGAGAAGCATTGAAAATGTTTTTTGCATGTTGCTATGATGACTGTTCCAACGTAAGCAAACGTCTTGAGATGATGGAATATCTGGTATAATAAGTTTCTGGAAAAAAACATAAATCATTAAATGCATATCATGATATAAATACATTCCTCAAACAACTCTAAAATATTTTATATCCTGTAATTATATTTTTTAATCTAGCATTTTATGAAGTCTTTAGAACAAGTTGCCAGATGTCAATGATATTAAATCTTAGTTTGAAAACATGCATGCTTTTTATGTAACACAAAACTGGAGCTAGCAATTTTCAATATTTAAAAAAAAATTGAAATATGATTCATATTAACACACTATAGGCGGGCCCGTAAAAATACTCGTCAGACCAAACTGATATGTGTAGCGGGCAAATCGCTTGCTCGACACGAGTGTTCTTTCCGTCGCCTCGCATGAACACAAATGGCTGTCACATTGAACATATTTTTTATAACTCTTTTTTTTAAAAAAAAAAACCGTCTGGTTGTTTTGAACTATAAAAAAATTATTTAATTGATGCATAATTAAACATGAAACTAACAAAAACTAGTGGCGTATGGCATCGTGCCTTAAGGCAAATTGCTGAAACTTCCTGTACCATAACGAAATGTTCGAGGAATATTGAGTATTCAATGAAATATTTTTTTTCTAAAGCAATTGTTATGTCAACACAATCAGAATGTTTTTTGAATCATTCTATTCGGATGCTTATTTCTATCAAAAACTGCCATTTTGTGTACATTTAGCTCCGTATCTTTGAAATTGCTGAACCTGCCTTTGCCAAAAACTAATCAACCCTTCTCCCAGTCATTACTAATTTAATGTTTTTTAGTTAAAATTCAAATCGGATGCTCCGTTCTCTCAAAAACTCGATTTCTATTTTCTGCACTTTTTGCTCTGTATCTCCGTAACGGCTGGACCTGCGATTGCCAAAAACTAATGAGCACATCTCCCTATCAATAGGAATCGAATGTTTTTTGAACCATTCAAATCGGTTGATCCGTGCGCCCGAAAACGAAACCCGTGAACGAAAAAATGCGGCCACCAAAAACACACGCACACACACAGACACATCCATTTCTAATGAGGTATGCCAAAATGTTCAGAAACCCAAAAACCGTAGAAAAATGGAAAAATTTTCATTCTTGATTTTCCGCCCATTACTATATATAGGTTAGTTATAACTAACCTACGGAAAGTTAAAAATTTAACGTACAGTAGATATATAAACCACTTTTTACATACGTGAAATTTATGGAAAAAATCACCCCTTATGAAGAGGTGCTGGGACCAAAATTGCAAAAATAGCTGAACCACTTCAATTAAACTATTTCGTTTCAAAACAACGCAACTTTGACCTAAAAATGATTCAATAATTGGAGGATTGTCAAATTCTGACCACTCCACTTCTTCATCGTCATTATTTCCAGAATCTCTGGAAATAATCGGTAAAACTCTACGTCTTCTAGGATGAAAAAAATCTTCATCCACATACACTACCAAAAACAGTAATATCAAAATCACTTCCAATTTGTGATAAATTATTGGCGCAAACTTTACTATCGCTATCCGATGCCATTATTTCATTATTGCAAATAACAATGTAAGAAAGAGTTGAACTATACAAATCTGACTAATAACTAAAATATTTGATAAAATATATATTGAACAACTTTTTATTGTTGTAAATTCTGCATATTTATCAAACAAAGACAAAACAAATTGCGAGTAGCTTAAATGAAAAGAAACTTGAAGATAAAACATATTGTTTCTTATTCTAAAAGTCTTTCAATACGTAAATCAACTGAATCTAGAGAAAAGTATCAGCTATTCTTTCAATATCATGTACAAACCGATCAGATAAAAGTATTTTGACTCGCTTTTAAAGTTAGTCTGTTTAAAGCGTAATAATACCTTGCCCGCCGATAAGCAACAGTCCTCGCAGAGCGTAATTTTACGGGGCCCGCCTATAGTGTGTTAACATTACATATTAACACATGGTAAAGGCATAACAATGAGTATGTGGCTAAAATGAAATATAATTACCTTCTCTTGAACAGGTGATGGTGATATTTTCGTTTTTGTATATTGATTATATACTTGTGATTTGACATGCTCTTGTATGTTCGAAATATTGGACATTACATTGCTCACATTGCGATCTTTGCGCTCAATAGCGGGTGTAGGTACATTTGAAAAACCATTTCCTATTCAGAAAAAAATATACATTAAAGAAATTTTTAAAGTATATATATTATGATTCTTACATATATGTTATATATATGATTCAATATTTTTTTTAATATAGTATTATTTGAGATTACTTTTTGCTATTGTTATACAATAGCTCACGTCAACGGTGATTAGTTCTTCTAGTTAAATAGTTCGAATTGAGTAAATCCTAATACTGTAATGTAAAAAAGTAGTATACCTAATACACAAAATATTAACTTACGTTCATCTGTTTTGTGATTCATAAGTATACTCCTGCATAACATCGCAGGATAAGTTTCACCGCCGCTTCCAGAATCATCACCACTCTCGATTTTCACCAGCGGTGGTAAATCGGTAAAATTTGTGGTAGCTTTATAAAGATTGTCTATTGCAGTTGGTTTTTGTTGTCTGTTATCATTATTGTATGATATATTGTTGTATGAATTATTTTTAGTTAAATTGATATCAATCGAATCGCCATTCCGTGATGTTAATATATCGAATACGCATTTGGATACGATATCGCGTGTTGGTTTGCTAGTATTCCTAGCCTCCCATTTTAAATAGGTCCACTTTTTACGACAATCAGCTTCGGTACGATGAATTTTCTCCACTTTGGACACTGCAACAGCAATTTTCTCCCAAGTCTGAAGCCAAGGAGAATTCTTGTTCGAAACATCTCCTAAATGATAACATTCATGTGAATAATTTACAAATTTAAATGAAATCGATTGAAAAGTACAAATCTACTGCATAAATAACCTTTAGAAGAATGCTGATAATAATCAGATTTTAGATCTTTAATACAGTAAAACAGGAGCAACTTTGGATTTTCATAAAAGCTCGTTGATTAGTAAAATAGATTTAGGTTCGAGACATAAACTTTTTTTATTTACACACTTATTCAATTTTATAGTTCAAAAACACATTGTTCATAAGATATATTTATATTACCTCTTCCTCCTTGGACGCTGAATAGTACCACATCGCGATATTGCAGAACGCATTTCAACAGGCATTCCACTTCGGGTAAGGTAAAATTCAGTTTGCGCGGTTTCGTCGCACTATTCTGGGCTTGGGCAACCACCATGGCTGGAGTGACAAGTTTTATATTTGCAATCGATACTTGCGGTTTCGCAGGATTCATATTCATCATCTTATTAAATCTGCAACAAAGATCAATGAAGTTGAGAACAGAATCGTAGGAATAGGAGGAGAAATCTCTATAAAAATCTCTATACAATTATATTGGAACAAGTACTTGGAAAGGTTTATTACCTAATTAACTAAGTCTTCGTTAGCGAAAGGAACTAATAAAATGCATTAGATCACATAATGTACTGCATCAGATCAGATACTTCAACTCTAAATTACATCGTTCAATGAGGTTGAGAACAGAATCGTTAGAATAGTTGGAAGTGATGAGACTTGCAAATAGAGATTTTATATTGGGAGACCCGTATCATTTTAAGTACTTGGGAAGGTTTATAATTACCTAATTAACTAAGTCTTTATTAATTAAATTAACTAACTTGCGAAATAAACTAATAATACATTAGATCAGATAATGTACTACAATCGATCAGATACTTCGGCTCTAAATTCCATCGTTCAATGAGGTTGAGAGCAGAATCGTTAGAATAGTTGGAAGTGATGAGACTTGCAAATAGAGATTTTATATTGGGAGACGTGTCTCATTTCAAGTACTTGGAAAGGTTTATAATTACCTAAATAACTAAGTTTTTGTTTGCGAAAGAAACTAATAAAATACATTATATCAGATTTACTACATCAGATCAGATACTTCGACTCTAAATTCCATCGTTCCATGAGGTAGGGAACAGAATCGTTGGAATAGTTGGAAGTGATGAGACTTGTGAATAGAGATTTTATATTGGGAGACGTGTATCATTTCAAGTACTTGAAAAGGTTTATAATTGCTCAATTAACTAAGTCTGTGTTTGCGGAAGAATAATCAGATTCTATATCTGATCAGATAATGTACTACATATCAGATCAGATACTTCTACTCTACATTCCATCGTTATTAACAACCTGATGGATAGTTTCGAGATATGGCGCTGGAGAAAAATGGAATCGATAAATGCACCAACTTGATATTAAATGAAAAACAGTTAAGGGCGAGAAAACTAGATCGAACCCAGATTGGAATTAGAGAGTCTTCACGGCATTATCTAAAGAAACGAGGATGGGGATATGGGCGACTTATTCGAGAAGAGTAAAATGTAAAGAACTTAAAGCTGAAGCACAAGAAACAGTATTTTTCAAAGTTAACACAATTATAAGAGCAAAGAGAGTTAACTAAACCACATTTGGCATATGGTGTTCTCAGACCACGGGCCTGCCTTTGGGAATAGGAAAATAATGAGCCAATATGAATCAGTCAAATCTAAGTAAAAATCCAAAAATTCTGAAAAATTAAAGATTTGGCTATTTTTATAAAGTATAATATTACAATCCTCTCTGCCATATTATTGTCTTATAGAAGCATTTTTCAAAAAGCGCGCTTATTAATATAATTAAAACTGTGAAAATCTTTTCAATAATGCATTGAAAATATATTTTGTATTTTGTGATTTTCAGTTGAAAACCGTTTTCATATTTCTATTATAGCTGCCTTATTATAATTAATTAATATTTAATACTTTATTGATAATGACTTATTAATAATACAAATAGAGTTCGTCTATCGTTCTATCAAGCAAAAAAAATTTGCTATTATTTTCATCACAATTGTTAACTCTGATGGTACTTCGTTCGAAAAATATTAACAACTAACTTACATTTATTGAAATATTATATATATTATATATATATATATATATTAAATTAATAATATTTATATAAATAATTAAATTCTATATAATATGTTAAAATGCAATTCGGTAGTCGAAATTTAAAAATCGTGTTCAATAAATGAGTGAAAGGGCGGGGTTTAATTTTCTGACTTTAATTTTTCGTAGCATAAAATTCCGTCTTCTCGGCAAAAAATATCTAAAAATATCAGTCTTTTCTCGCAAAACATAATAATTGAGTAGTTTTACAAATTCAAAAATTTAAATAATTCTAAAATTCATTCTTTACATATTTAAAATATAAGAAGTGCTTTTATGAAAAGTAAAAAAAATTATAAGTATAAAATTAGAAATTTAATGCCCTCGTTAAATGCATTTCAAATTAAAAAAAAAAAAAAATCTACATGTGGTACATTATTATTGAATACTAACTTGTTGATAAGAGAATTATAAAAGAATGCTTCGACTATATTTTTTATATTATTTAAATTAAGCAAACGGATATAAATTAATATTATATTTGCCGAGATCATATAGTATAGATTCATTGCATTTCTCTTTTTTTAATAATAAAGAAAACAGTAATAGGAAATTATTTTTTGGGAAAAATTATAAATATTTTAATTAACAAATACTATGATAAAGATCGTAAAATTGTTCGGATTTCAGTAAAAATCCCTTTACCAAAACCCGGTGATTTTATTCTTAAGACCTATTTGACCTTATAGGATTTACTTTAAAATAAAATTTAGTTTATAAATATGATTTATGAACTTATAATAAAAATGATCGTATTTGAAATATTGGTTTGATGCATTTTATTCAAGAAAAAATAATATTTGGACCCCAGAAGGAAGCAAAAAAATATGTGGCGAGACAGGTATTAAACGCATACATGCAGGATTCGGGTGGAATTTTACCTACGGATACATACACAAATACAAATTGACGTTGAGAACCTTGACAATTTGGCTTTCGAATTTTGGGATGAATGTAATAAAAAGGCAAACCAAAACTGAGTTTAAATAACTGTAATTTAAAATAAAGGTACACCGGTAAAATAGAGGAAATATAAAATAATAGAATTTATAATTTAATTGAAAGGCGCATATAAATGTAAATTTAAAATATAAATGTTTTATAAAAGTGATGAACTCTGAAGATGAAATATTGTTTTCGAACCTATGTATATAAATTGGTATAAATTTGGATCGATAAAAGTTTTCTTCTGCTTATCCTACATCTCCCTCTCGCTATGAAATCTTTCTCTTTTTCACGAAATAATAGCAGGAGAAAAAGCCAAGTAATGATTGTCTACCATCACAAATATAAGAATCTATAATGATGCACTTATTAAATTCCGCTTGCGTTCTTCATAAATCATAGTGAATTTGTTTTTTATAATCGTAATATTATTATTTAATTTTAATTACTACTAGTTATTAATTTTAAAATGAATTTATAAAAATATTGGCAAACATAGGCGATTTAAAAATTATCACAACATTGTTTTTTATATATAACAACCTGCCGTGAATGATATAATTTAAAATTCATAAATAAAGACAATTTCAAATATCAATTATTATTTATATTAATTTTGATTAGTCGGTGCAAGTATTCAAATTCATTTAAAAAATATGCCGGGTTGCATTTATCTTCCTTACTGATATGCATAACTTTACTATACGAATGACATTTTTTTAGGATCGATTTACACATGTAAACAAATCTAAATAAATAAACATCTCCCATCCAAATACACAAAAACATCTAATTACATGTATATTAATACTTACATAAATAACACTGAAGTAATTTTACAACAACACCAATAATCTTCTATATATTATTTGAAAATCGTTAATATAAAATTTCAACTCACTATCCGAAGGGCATAAATTTACTGATTCAAACATGATTCTATAGAATGACGCTAAATAACGCATGAAAATATACCCCCACCCGGTTCGAATTTGGCTTATTTGTGTGCGTTAGCAAGGAACAAACTTGAAGGATTCTGCAAGTTTTTAATTTCATACATTGTTGTAAAACTTTTGAATACACAATCTTTGCACGAGAGGTAGAAATCGTATATTAAAATGGTAATAAAAATTGAAATATGAAAAGCTATATTTGTTAAGTATTTTTTTCTGAGTATTTTATATTTTTATAGTTTTTATTTTTCAATATTTATTTGTTCAGTATATGTAATAATATTGAAATATTATACATATTTTTTTTTCAAAGTTTTAATTATTATTATTTTTATTAATTCTCATAAATTTGTAGAAAATATACGATGCGCTATATACCTGTTCAAAGTATGCAATTATTTTCTTAAAAAAGGCAATTAATTTTTTTAAAGTCATTTTTTTATGATTTATTCAAACAGGAGTACACAGAGAAAAATAATAGTAATTTTAAAAATTAGCAGTTCTTAAAGTGGGGGTTCTCAAAAAATTTACTAGTGTTCATGCCCACGATTGAAACCCTCCTATAAATCCGAAATGGAAAAAAAGAAAATATTGTTAATCTAGAATGATGTCACTATGGCATATTTTATTTATTTATTTATTTATTTGATATAATTCATGCATACTGTATCTCAGTCAGACAATTGTTCTGGTTCGAGAGATCACAGCAATTATAACAAAAAAAAATCTAAATTTTATGTAACAAAATTACATTACAAGGCATCTATATATTTTCACTTATTACTATTATATACACATATATACACAGAACGCTTGTGCACATACATACGTAATTGTAATTAATATTAATATTAATATTTTAACAGAGCAGAAGTAATATAGTATTTAAAATAAGAAATTTTATCTCATTTATTTCATTTTTATCTTATGTAATTTTTCAATTTAATTTTGAATTTGTTCAGGTCCGTCATTGTCAGTTCGCCCGGTAGTTTATTGTAAAGGCTGCTTGCACTTCTCAGAGGACTTGCAAGTCCTTTACTAGTTTTTGCATGTTTCATGTGAAAGTTTCGGTTTTGTCTCGTTTATCATATACCAGGATTGAGTTACAAAAAAAACAATCATTTTTCTCGCTACTTTTTGAGTTTCTCGAATCATTTAAAAATAGTAACAATTAAAATTTGGAGATAAAGCTAGTATATGCTTGAGAGAAGTCTATAAAAAAGATTCTATGAAAATTTCAAGTAAATCGGTCTTTTTCGTAGATCTCAAGATATCGTGGGCATAATATTGAAGAATACAGTTTAGAGAAAAGCACTTAGTTTAAAGTTTTGCAAACAGAAGAGGATTATCATGGTTAAACAGCTGTATCTACGAAAATAATTTAGATTTAAAAAATCCTTTCGTACACATATTATTAAAATGTGGCGAGCATAGCTCACATGGTAGGGTGCTCGATTCACACTTCAGAGATTTTTGGATCGAATCCTGTCATTGACTTAGAATTTATGCAAAAAAATTGTAGTTAATTTGAAATTAAATGAAAATTGTATTTGTTAAGTAGAAATTGAATAAAAAATAGGAAAAATAGGAATTACAGAATTCGAACAGCTGAATTGTATTAGGAGTAAGAAGAAAAAGTTTCAGAATTTGCTGAGATTAAAAAGAAGAATGAAGAAGAAAAAAAATGGAATGAAAATAGAAGTTGAATAGAATTAGAAATTTGATAGAAAAAAAAGCAAAAATTGAAGAAATTAAAAAGAAGAAGAATATATTCTATATTCTTATAGATTTATATATATAGATTAAATATGATATAAAAATTGGTATAGAGTGTAAATAAATAAAAATGTTGTAGGTGGCTAAATGCTCAGAGTAAGCGAGGCCAAATAGAAATTTAAAAAAAACAACATATTATTAAATAGAAGAACTTTGAAAATATGAAAAAAAGGAAAATCGATTTTTTTTAATATCTACCCTATAATTTACATGGAGTTACACTCCACTTAAGGGAACGGCACAAATTCACAAATAGTATATAAAGTTATTAATTAATCATTTTTTTTAATTTCAATAAGTATTACAACTGTTAAATTATTAACATCTAGTAATATTGTTAAATAATATAAATTTAAATAAATAAAAGTGCAAAGGATAAAATTTACATGAAAATAATATCCGTAATATGATTTGATATAAAATATAAGCAAATACTAATAAAAATAAAATTAATAAATAATATAAATAAAATAATGATAAATTTAATTAATTAATTTTATTAATATAAAATGATTAATTTTTTTATTAATAAGTAATAAATATTTATTATCCACCGTAGTACAGATTGAACATCCTTAAGCCGCTTGATGTATTCATCGTCTATGTGTGAGTTCCGAGCCGAGAGAAGCGGCGAGCTGAGCTGCGCGCATGGTCGTAAGTAAAGCGTGCGCCCTCCGCCAGCGAATACAGTGTAATATTTCTCAAATTTCTTTGTTAAGGTTTTCGTAAAATGGAATCTCATAAAAACGCAGACTAATACGATATGACATATAATTTCTTAAAATATCGACGTTTTCCAGGCTTCATTCCGAAGGGGTAAAATATCATTTTTTGCACGTAAAATTTGCTATATATTTCAGGATATTAATATATTGCTGCAAAATCAAATAAATGGGATTTCAGATCAGATTTTTTTATATACACATAAAAAATCCTATTTTCATTGCAAATTATATCTCTTTAAAGAAAGAATTAATTTCAATATTAAAATGTTCAAAATTAAACTAGTGGGGCGCATGGCATCGTGCCTTAAGGTACGATGCCATACTTCCCGTACAAAAAAAAAATTTTTTTTTTTAAAGATTAACATTTTTGAAAAAAATTTACTCTGAAAAACTAGATTTTTGAGAAACTATAAATTTTTGACAAATATTTACTTTTTTTGAAAAAAAAAGACTTTTTGAAGAAAAGTGTATTTTGAAATTTTATTGAAAAAAAAGTTCTTTATTTTAAAAGTTGTTTATTTTATTATAATAAAATAATATAAATATTTTGGAAATTCTGAATTTTTTTCAAAGCAATCGTACTGCTTTAACTGCATAGAGACGAAATATCGAACCGCGTAAGCGCCGCACCGCCGACTAACGGATAAGCATTGGTACGGAACCCATAGGAATGTAAACAAAATTTATACTTATTGTTAAAATCTCTATAAAATATCTGATAATTTGATGTGCATATGTCTAATGATCATTTTTGACCGCCAGATGGCATTTTTTTTTACTTTTTTTGCTAAAAATTATTCAAAGTTCAAAGTTAATTTTTTTCTAAAATTTGATCATCTTCATCTTTTTAATATAAGTAAAATGTTTTTTGAATTATTCAAATCGGACGCTCCGTTCTCTTAAAAACTGACCGTTTTTGGCACTTTTTGCGCTATATCTTCGGAACGGCTAGACCTGCCTTCGCCAAAAACTAATCAGCACGTCCCCTTATCAGTACGAATCGAATGTTTTTTTTAATTATTCAAATTGCTTCATCCGTGTTCCCGAAATCGACGACGAAAATTTGTATCCGAACACACATACACACACGCACACACACATACACACACATACATCCATTTTTTCTAAGGTATGCCAAAATATTCAGAAACCTCTGAAACGTAAAGATATATAAAAAAAATTATTTTCGATTTTTTTGCGATTACTATAACTTACCCTACGGGAAGTTAATTATATAAAATCTAATTTAATTTTGAACATTACATATTAATATTTATATTTTTAACTTCCCGTAAGGTAAGTTGTCGACGATTTCGCAAACACGGATCAATCGATTTGAATAATTCAAAAAACATTTGTTTCCTACTGATAAAGAGACGTGCTGATTACTTTTTGGCAAAGGCAGGTCTAGCCGTTTCTGAGATACAGGGCAAAAATGCCAAAAATGGTATTTCAGTTTTTGAGATAACGGAGCGTCCGATTTAAATAATTCAAAAAACATGACAAGATGAAGAATTGATCAAATTTCTGTAAGGTTCAGCGACTACGGAGGTCCAATAAAAAAAGTAAAAAATAATGCCATTTGTTACGCGGCGCTTACGCGCTTTGATATTTCGACTCTAAATCAGCTATTCAGCGCCATTGCTTAAAAATGTTTAAAATTTTCAAAAAAATCAAAATAAAAAAATATTAAAGTATAAAAAAGTTAAATTTATCAAAAAGAAATATTTTTTTCAAAAATTTCAAAATTTCTAAAAAATTATAAGCACGTTTTGAAAAAATTGACGAACACATATTTTACTTTTTCTTTGAAACAACTATAAAATTCATACTGGCATTTTATTAAATTCGGACGAATACCGAATATCTATACATATATTATTCGGCCAAATATCAAATAATTAAATAATATATGTTCTTAAAAGGAGATAATTGGTAATATGAAAACAAAATCGATTCGTTATGTATATATCCATCTTTTAATTTCTTCTTCAATTATAATCATTGCATCTTCTTGTATATTCAGAAATTTAAAAAATTTCTTTATGAATTCTTTTCATAATTAAAATTTAGAAAGAAAAGGTTATGGTACAGAAAGACTTTTTTCTGCATATTTAATAAAGTATTATTTCTATTTTTCGCAGACCGTCGTATAACCTTTCTGTATGTTAAAGCTCAAAATAATTATTTTGAATTATGAATTATAAATATTGAATATCAATTAATTGATTTATCAATACTACATGTGAGATGTAATATATACCCCAAATATAGAAAAATTGTGTATGTGTTTATGTGCCGATTTTTTTCATTTTTCGTCGACGTTTTCTTAAAAAACGGTTGCACGTATTTCAAAATTTTAAATTAAAGAAATTCGATAAGAAGGAGTCTTTCATTATAGGTTTCCGAGATAATCGTCCAAACCGTTTCTATGGCATTAGCTAAAATAATAAAAATTTTACGGCTATGTTTTTGCAAAAAATCATGAATCTATTTC